ACCCCAGCTTACTAGCCACTCCCATCCAGATCTCCTTAGGCCCTTCCTTCCATCACCCCAAACTACTTGGCCATGCCTAGATTCCTCCCACAGTCTTTCTGTATATAAGGTCCATCTTGTCTCTATTAAGACGCTGAGATTCTTAAAATCTAGCCAATGCTCAGATTCTTAAAATCTAGCCACAGTTTAGATTCTTATAATCTAGCCACTGGTCAGATTCTTATAATCTAGCCACTGCTTACCTATGTTCAGACTCCTTAAGAGTCCGCCCAATATGATGGATGTTCTGATAAACCTTGTCTTTGGCTGAAAGAAGGCTTGGGTTGAATTCTTTCAGGCAGGACCCACGTGTTGTGATTTTGGGGTCCCAGCACCCCTGAATCCTTAAACCGCATCATTCCCTCATGGTATTTGGAGTTTTCCTTGCTTACTTATTTCATCCACATCACTCTCCAGGCTAGGGGAGTGGGCTGTTCTTGTGTCAAGTTCCTCAACTGAGTGGTGGGACCTAAAGGAAGTCAGGGAAGTCAGGAGCTGAAGATGATGGGGAGAGCATTCCAGGCATGGAAGACAGAAAAAATGCCCAAAGAGGAGAGATGGAGTATCTTGTTTGTGGAACAGCCAGGGGTCCACTGGCATTACATTGAAGAGTATACAGGTGTAAAAAAACTGGAAAGGTAGGAGAGACCTAGATAACAAAGGCCTTTGAATACCTGAGGATTTTCTCCTTGAGGGCATAGGGAGCCATTGGAGTTTATTGAGGGGGGGGGGGTGATAGAATTGACCCAGAGCTCTAGGTAAATTGCTTTAGTGGATGGATTGGAGTGGGGAGAAACTTAGGGCAGGCAGACCTCCCAACAGCTATTGCAATAGGCCAAGTATGAGGTGATGAGAGTCTGCACCAGGGTGGGGGCAGAGCCAGAGGAGAGAATGGGGTATATACAGGAAATGTTTCAGAGGTGAAACTGACAGGCCTTGACTTGGCTTCGATATGGGTTATGAGAGAGTGACAGGTCTAGGATGATGACTAGGTTGTGAACCTGAGGGTCTAGGAAGATGGTGGTGCTCTCAACAGTAACAAGGAAAGTGGGTGGGGAGGTTTTGGGGAAGATAATACTCTTAGTTTTGAACATATTTAATTTAAGATGTCTACTGGACATCCATTTCAAGATGTCTAAAAAGCAATTGAATATGAGAGACTAGGGGTCAGCAGAGAGGTTAGGACAAGTAGATTTGAGAATTGTCAGCATCGAGGCAGCAATTGAATGCATAGGAACTGATGAGATCATCAAGTAAAGTAGTATGGAGGGAGAAGAGGGCCCAGGACAGAACCCTATGGGATGTCTATGGTTAGAGGGCATGATATAGGTGAGTATCCAGTAAAGGAGACAGGGAAGGGGCAGTCAGAGAAGGAGGAGGAGAAGCGGGAGGGGGAGAGAGGGTTCCTTGAAAATCTAGAGAGAAGAGAGGATCCAGAAGGAGGGTGACCAGTAGTGCCCAAGGCTTCAGAGAGGTCAAGGAGAAGAAGGATGGAGAAAAGGCCATTGGATTTGGCAACTAGATCATAGGTCACTTTGAAAAGGGCAGTTTCGCTGGAATGATGAGATCAGAAGCTGGATTATAAGGGGTTAAGAAAAGAGTGAGAGGAAAGAAAGTAGATGGACTGATTGTAAAGACTTTTCTGAGGAGTTTCACCACAAAGAGCAGAAGAGATAAAGGACAATAGTTACCAGAGATGGAAGGAGTAAGTGAGGGTTTTTCAGGATGGGGGAGACACAGCCATGTTTGTAGACAGTAGGGAAGGGGCCAGTACAGAGGGAGAGATTGAAGATAAACCAGAGAATGGGGATGACAGAGGGCCAATCTGTTGAAGAAGATGGGATGAAAGGGGGTCACTTGAGCAAGTAGAGGGGTTATCCTTGGTAAGGAGTAAGGCCACTTCATCATGGGAGATGGAGTGAAGGAGGAAAGAATGGCAGAAGATATCTGAGTATTCGGTGATAAGGAAGAGAAGATCATGGCAAATGACCTCAATGTTTTCTGTAAAATATGAGTGAAGGTTCTCACCTGAGAAGGTGGGGGAGGGGGGAAGAGAGAGCCATGGGAGTTTTGAGGAAAAATAAGAAGGCTTGGAAGCTTTTCAGTAGAGAGTGGTATGGTAAGCTAATTAGGGAGGGGCAAAAGGATGACTGAGGTGAGGCTGTGTAGCATAAATTTGTAGTGAGCCCAGTCAGAATAGTTGTGTGATTTTATCTTGTGGGTAGAAGGGAAGGCAGTGGATGGTGGGAGTGATCCAAAGCTGAGGCTTGACTGGTCATTATCCACCAATAGATAGGAGTAGGGTTTCAAGAGAGGAGGATAGAGTAGGTTGAATTGGTTTTCTAAGAGGTCAAGATAGGGCAAAGAGGAGAGAGTGGCTAGGTGGCCTATGAGAGATCTGAAGGATCTGAGGATTCAAGGCCATGTCGTGGATGAAGCGCGGGGTTTTGTAAGGGAAGGCAGACAGAGAGGTTAAAAGCCAAAAGATTATGTTTGGTAACATGTACTCAACCAAGAGAACTTATAGTTGGTGAATTTTGCCTGGATAACCCTTTGTAACCCAAGTCACACCAAAACTCCCATCACAGAATCACAAACAGTTGAGATTTTGGAGGGACTTCATTGAGCATCAAGCCCAACCTATATCCCCAAAGGGACCCTTCTTAGCATGGCTGGCCAGCTTTTGCCGAGGAAATCAACTCACCCCATGCTGAAGCTGCCTGCTCTGATTTAGGAGAACACTATTTGTTCAGAGGTTTTTCTTGACTTCAAGCCAAAATGTCCTCTTTGTATCTTCCACCCATCGCTTCTGGTTTTGCTTTCTAGAACAAATCTCATCAGAGTTTCACATGACTGTCCTTATGTCCCTGACTCCAACTCTATCGTTAACCAATTCTCAGATAACACATCCTTGAGACCCTTCACTGTCCTGGTGACTTTTGTCTGGACACTCCAGCTCATGAATGGGCTTCCTAGAACCTCGAACAACATTCTAGATGGAATCTACCTGACCAGGTCAGAGTCTTGGGGTGGGGGACCCCATCACCTCCAGGGGGCGCAGTAGCTAGCTCATCGATTTCAGTGAGAGCATGTACACTGCAGAAGCTGGCAAATGCTGCATCAGGACTTGATTTATTGCTTTATTGATTGTCTAACTTAAGAAAGTGATGTAGACAATGCCAATAATGCAGATTAAACTCAGAGCTGTCTACTGAATTTCAGAGAGTTAGTTGTTAAACATTTGCTGGGGCTCTCCTGAATTTTCCTCCCTGTTCCTGAAAGCTGGGTTCCTCTTAAGACTGCCACACCACTTTGCTAATTCATTGTAGTCATTGTAGTTCATGGTCAATTCCCTGTAGTTTGCTCACCCTCCCCCAAGCCTAACCACCTTAACCATGCCTCCTGGATCTTAACTCTTCCAGATCCTTTGTATCTATCTCTATTGTACATGCTCCAGCCTCACAGTCTTCTGGGATCCCAGCCCAATCATTCAGGGTAGGCATGCTCTCCTCCACAGCTTCATGCCATTTGCTTAATTGGTAGCTGTGCCACCAATAGGGACATCTGAGTCCCTGATCCGGCTTCCCTGGGGCTCTCCTCCACTGGAGACGCTGATCCATGAAGGACTCCTCTGTGCCTCTGACCCCTCAGCCAGACCAGAGTCCATCTGTAGCATCCATCTAGTGGTGTGGTCCAGCTCCACAAGAGGAGTGTGAGACCCTTTATCAAAAGCTCCCGAGCTAAATCATGGCACAGTGGCCGGACTTGGAGTCAGGAAGACCTGAGTTCAAATCCAGACTCAGACAAAATAGCCCCCACCTCCCAAGGCTGTTGTGAGGATCAAATGAGAGCAGATTTGTCAAGTGCCTGGCGCAGAGTAAGTACTATAGAGACATTAGCTATTATCATTATGAATTAGATTTATAATGTTTTCATTTAATAACCCTGTCAGAAAAAAAAAGAAATGGGGACAGAGGCCCTGCTGTGCCAGAGTGCACAGAGCCCTAGGTCTGGAGTCAGGAGGGCCTGAGTTCAAATCTGGCCTCAGACACTTACTAGCTGTGTGATGCTGAGCAAGTCACTTAACTTCTGTTTGCCTCAGTTTCCTCCATTGTAAAATGGGGATCATAACAGCAGCTACTCTGAAAGGTTCTTTTGAGAGTCGAATGAGAGAATCTTTGTAAAGAACTTTGCAGACCTGAACTTGCCCCAGAGACGTGAGCTGTGGTTATTATGGTCCGACTGCACTTGTACAGGAACCTTGACAGGTTCCTTCTGGCTCTTTGTAATCAGCCACTCACTTTTCTTTGAACATCAGCCACCTTCTAAATGAATGCTCTAGAATTCTCCCTGGAATTCCAGACCACTGGCCCATAGTTTTCTATTCTCCCTTCTTTCTGGAAATAGGCACATTTGCCTTTGCTCATTCCTAATGTGTCTCTCCTGTTTTCCGTGACTGTTTCCATATCTCTGACTGACCCAGCAGCCACCCCTGCCAGCTCTTCCAGGAGTCTGGAATGGGTTCTTTTGGCTACCAGCTTCCTGCAAGCCTCTGCTGTCGTACTTGTCCTTGTGAAGGAGGGTTTCAGGGATAAGCTGAATCAGCATTTTCCTACAGAAGTGACTCCCCACGGCAGCTTCCCTCATTGTCCATCGAGAGGAGAGAAGTTATTTATTTAGTCAAGGTTGGACCTGGTTTCCTTTAGGTTTTCCTTTCTTTGGGAAGAACTATTATAGATCCCTTCTCTAAGGCAAAGCAGTGTTGACATAAAATGAAGAAATAAAAATATGAAAATTCATCAGAATTCAGTATGTTAGTTTAAAATTTCCTAATTCTTAAAAAAAAATCTGGGGGCCAAGTTTCTCAATTTCCTCTTGTTGTTCCTTGTTCCATGATTGGGAGAAGGCAAGGATAAAAAGGAACATCAGCTCTCTGGTTAACTTCTCCTTTTGAGGTGAGATTGTTGCTACTTGGAGGGAACCCTCAGAGCTCAGCTGTGCCCCTTCTTTGGGAGCCCGTGGTCATCACAAGGCAGAGATGGGCAGAGCCACAATGTGGCTACCTGAACGCTCTAAACATGCAGGTAAAGGTTTCTTCTTTTGTCTCCATCGATGTCTTTGGGGAAATTCTTACAGTCCAGAGAACATGGACATGGGGGTTGAGAAAAGATCTGAAATGTGGAAGACATGGGGAAAGCATGAGGGAGCTCTGAATAGGGCTGGAGGCACAATAAGGTTTCAAGGAATTAATTTGCCTGTGATAAGAACAGGAGCAAAGCTGGCCTTGAGGGATAAAGTGGGAGTTAGGTGGTGCTTTTAACAACTGGCTTTCCAAAATCGCAGAAAACATTTTTAAGTTGAATCTGAATTATTAATGTTTTTACTTTCTTAAGTCTAGGCAATGAATGAAACAAGAAATCAAACCATGATGTGTCAGTATTTCCAGTGAAAATTTCACAATCTGGTGAACTCCTGGACAAGGTCCGAGGGAGTGGCAAGGCAAGAGGGAGCACAGAGTAGGAAAGAGGAGGAAAAGTATAGAGGAAGAAAAGAAGAAAGGAGGGAAGAGTGTGTCTGCTCTCTCACCAGCAGCAGATGGTCCAGGAGGGATGACGGCCCTCTTTACTGGGCACCCACTTTATACAACAGACCAGAGCAAATTCATCTGCTCCGAGGCTTAGAGGAGGGAGGGTGGAGGAGATCAATGGCTGGGAGAGTGTTCGGCTCTGACCATCACCACCATCTTAGAGCTTCTGGGTGTATGTGTGTGGGGTGCTAGGGACTCCTATGAACCTTGGCAATAATATTTGCCATGGATAGATTTTTGCATTTTTTTCAAAAAAATTATTTATTTTTAGTTTTCAACATTCATTTCCATAATACTTTGAGTTTTAAATTTTCTCCACCTCCTTCTCCCCGCCTCCCCGAATGGCATGCAATCTGATATAGGCTCTCCTTATACATTCATATTAAGCCGATTTTCACATTAGTCATGATGTAAAGAACAATTAGAACCAACAGGAGGAACCATGATAATGAATCAATAAAACTAAACAACAAAGGAAAAGGAGAGCAAACAGTCTGCTTCCATCGGCATTCAGGCTCCATGTTCTTTCTCTGGATGTGGACATTTTCTACTGAGAGGGTTTTGGAGCTGTCTTAGATCCTTGCTTAGTCTGTCAAAGTCAGTCACCACACAGTGTGGCTGTTGCTGTGTATAACGTTCTCCTGGTTCTGCTCACTTCACTCAGCATCAGACCGTACAAGTCTTTCCAGGTTTTTCTGAAGTCAGCCTGTTCGTCATTTCTTATAGCACAATAGTATTCCATTACATTTATATGCCATAATTTGTTCAGTCATTCCCCAATTGATGGGCATCCCCTCAATTTCCAATTCTTGCCCACCACAATAAGATCTGCCACACATATTTTTGTACTTTTCTCATTTTTATGATCTCTTTGGGATACAGACCTAGAAGTGGTATTGCTGCATCAAAGGCTATGCACATTTTTATAGCCCTCTGGGCATAGTTCCAAATTGCTCTCCAGAATGGTTAGATCAGTTCACAACTCCACCAACAATGCATTAGTGTTCTCATTTTCTCACATATTCTCCAGCATTTATCATTATCCTGTTTTGTCATGTTAGCTAATCTGATAGGTGTGATGTGGTACCTCAGAGTCTGATTTGCATGTCTCTAATCAATAGTGATTTAGAACATTTTTCATATAGATAGCTTTAGTTTCTTCCTCTGAAAACTACCTGTTCATATCCTTTGACCATTTATCAATTGGGGAATGACTTGTGTTCTTATGAATTTGACTCAGTTCTCTATATATTTGAGAAATGAGGCCTTTATCAGAGACATTGGTTGTAAAAATTCTTTCCCAGTTTTCTGCTTCCTTCCAATCTTGGACTCATTGGCTTTGTTTGTGCAAAAACTTTTCAACTTAATGTAATCAAAATGATCCATTTTGCATTTCATAATGCTCTCTATCTCTTGTTTCGTCATAAATTCTTCCCTTCTCCATAGATCTGAAAGGTAAACTATTCCTTGCTCTCCTAGTTTGCTTATATATAGTCCTTATATCTAAATCCTGTACCCATTTTGACGTTATCTTAGTATAGGGTGTAAGATGTTGGTCTATGCCCAGTTTCTGCCATACTCATGGATAGATTTTGAAAGGGAACAAATGAACTGGGGGAGGGAAGGAATAGTTGAGTGGACCTAGCGGTGAAGGAGCTTCTGGTTCAATGGTCAACAGAGAGAGGTTGGAGGGAAGGGAAAGAGAAGGCATCTGGAGAAGAAGCAGTGGAAGTGTTGGCCTGGGGCTACGCAGAAGAGGGAGGGGAGAAGTGGTGAATCAGATAAGGGCAGCACCTTCCAAACACTCAAAGCTGGCCAATAAGGAAGCAATAATCATCGTCCTGGTTCTAGTAGAAGCAATAAATGCAGTTAGGGGCAGATGATTGTAATGGGTCACTTGGAAGCCGTGCCTTCAGTCTCATTCCCAAAAGCCTTCCTCCTCCAGAACTCAGCCAGGGGCCTGGCATCATCGTGGTGCCCCCAGAGTTCCCCTGAGCTTGGATCTGAACTTTCCTCAGTCTGAGTCTGTGTCTCTGGGTCACTCTGTTCTGGAGGAGGAAGAAGGTCTCCCTAGATCTGACTGCCTCCCTGTGCCAAGGCCCTGAGGCCACTCCGACTCTACCTTGGGGTTTTCTCATCCCTACAGAACTTGGAAGATGCTGGCACCAACTGCCTCTCTGGGCTTGCGGCCTTTCCCTCCTGCTGGTCAGTACCTGCTTCCTCAACAGCTGTGTTGGTAGGTTCTGGGTCCCTCTGCTCCCCATTTTCCTAGTCTGGAGCTATGAAGAAGTCCCAGGGAGCCTAAAGCATACACCAGCACAGAACAGGGGCTGGCCCTGGTCTAGCACCGGGCAACTTCTGGGGCACTTCTTTCACCCCTGCCCTTTGTTTGTGTCGTCAACTCCAATTTACACAGTGCCTTTGCCAGCATCATAGGGCAGCCGTTTGGTGGAACTAGCAAGCGAGGTCTTGAGTCTGCTTGGCCCTTGGCTCTTCTCTTGTCATGTACCCTCCCCAGAAGTCACACCTCTGGGAACTGAAAAGACCTGATGCTCCTCCAAACCCTCCTAACCCTAAAAATGTTGTGGTCATCTGGCGAAGGAAGAAAGGAATTGTGACTGCTTTCAAAATTCCAGAAAGCAATTCCCTGGGAAGGAAGAGGAGGAAAGGGTGAAGAATGAGGAAGGCCACAAAATAGCCAAGGCCAGACCCACCAGGCAAAGGGCTGTAGAGGCTGCTGTTGCATTATATTGAGGCCAGGCGGGATTCTGAGGATCTGGGAGCAGATGCTGTAATAGGTGATGCTAGCATGATGAAGTGTCCTTGCCTTCAACTCTATCTCAAGGGAGCTTGTGAAGGAGACAGGTTTTCCAATGTGTCTGTGGGCAGTCCTGGCCAGCCTTGTGGATGGGAATGTGTCAGTGGCTTCCAGCCTGCACCACCAGACCTTGCTCTGTGCCTGTTTCTTTATCTGTAAGATAAGGACGCTGGCTTACGGACCCTGGAGTTCTTTCCGGTTCTAAATGTTCAACCTGAGGGCCTCTGGTTTAAAGAGTAAAAAGATACAAATGTGAGGAGATGGTTGCAGGAGAAAAGTGGGTATCAGAGAAGCAGATCTGAGTGGGGGCATCATATTGGGGCTCTACCCAGTATCTGTCCTAGCCTGGCCCTAGAGCCTGAGATGGCTGGTAGAATTCAGACAACTGTTTCTGAATGAGCAAAGGGAACAGAGCAAGCCTGAGGGACCCTAGAGAATCCCCATGTGAAGTGGCTTGACCCTGGCCCCATTCCTTCAGGGCCAGTTCTGTTACATTTGACCTTCCCACACCTCTCCCCCAAGGGTTCTCTAGGACGTGCTCTGGAGGGATTGGGGGTGCCTCTCTTCTCTGCCCTAGCTCAGGCCCACACCAGCTGTGTCCCCACATTTTTAAGGGGGGCATAGTGACTAGCATTTCAATTCCCTTGAGCCCCTCAGCATTGGATTAGCTTTTACAAGGGATATTTGCTTCACAGATATAGCCAGAACAAACATTTCCCTCTTTCTCCCAATATTTCAGGGATGAAATCCTCCCCAATGCCCTCCTCTCCATACCTGCCCCTTCCCCACACCACTTCTGGTGGGGAACACACAGCTCAGTTCCTACATAGCAAGCCAGCAGTGCTTCTGCTGGCTAGCCAAGGGCCCACTATCCACAAGAGGACCACATTGGTCTTGCTTCTCAAGATGGAGCTGCTGGATTGGCTGAAACATCCAGCCTGGGCCCCTGGACTCCCAGGTCCTGTCTTACGTGCCCAGGCCAGATCTGAGAGTGTTCTTCCTGCACGGGGACCAAAAGAACAAAACCTAGCCCTGTTTCTTGGGGCCCCATGATCTGGTGGGAAGAGGGAGAAAGCTGATTCTGAGGCTCTCCCCCTTGACCACATGGGCTGATTGCAACAGTCCTTTAGCTTCTAACATGGAAGAAAAAAAAAGCCCTGGTGGGGTCCAGCCAGATGGTTCTAAAGATTCAGGCTCTTCCAGTGAGTCAGCCCACACCCACGTGACAGGCTAAGCCAGCATGTCCACACGTATAGTAACAGGTCACCTAGCACCTTCCACATCGCTGCCTCCATCAAGCCTTCATACAGCAGAATCCTGATCCCATGACCTTTGGTCTCTCATGTGACTCTGGTCTGCCTTTCCTTTGCAGGGAATTCAGAGCCCGAGTTGAGGCTGGTCAATGGAAGCAGCCCCTGTGAGGGCTTAGTGCAACTGAAATTCCAGAGCCAGTGGGGGACGCTGTGCAGTGACAGCTGGAGCACAAATGAGGTTTCTGTGGTCTGTAAGCAGCTGGGGTGTCCCTCTGCTGTCAGCAGCTCAGGCTGGTCTAATATTAGTGATCCATCCGGACACTCATGGTTGGGCAATATTTCCTGCCACGGGAATGAGTCAGCTCTTGGGGTGTGCAGACACAGCCAGTGGAGTCAGCAGCCCTGCACGCCTAGGCAGGAGGCCTGGGTGAACTGCTCAGGTAAGACTCACCTGCCTCTTCCCACATCCCCAGAAAGAGAAGGACAAGCCAACTTCCTGGGAATAAATGCATTCACCCAGAGACCCGGCTCCCGGATCTGACCTGGGAAAAGCAGGAAGTACCGAGACCGTGCCCACATCTGAGCATGTCAGAGAACCCCCTACCCTCTCTGTATGTATGAGCTAGGAGACTGCCTCTGGGCTGCCTGAGATCTGGCCTAGCTAGGGCCCCCTTCCTTCTCTGGACAGCTGCCAACCTTCCCATCTTCCCCCTTGCTTGACTTTCATGAGTCAGAGTCAAGGGGATTTCATCTCCTGTGGGAAGGGACCAGCCCCAAGAGCTTGGCCCTTATTCTCCTTCTCCCAGGCTTCCATCTCTCTAAAAGCCCCAGTTCCTCTGGCTAACCTTGGTAGGTGGGAGTCAGCTAGAACCACCTCCACTCCTGGCCCAGCTGGCTGGATAAACTTCTTCTCATCACAGTTCAGCTAAGTCAAAGTTGGGTATTCTCAAAGGAACTTTCTTAGGGAACCGAAGGAAAAATAAAGCATCAAGAGAGGCATCAAGGCAGGTTGACACCAGCATCAATAATGAGACCTTGGCTTTCCATCCTCACATCTCCTCCAGATACAGACAATGGCTCATGGCCCAGTGGGCTCACTGAGCCTATTTGGCCCCCCGCAGCTGCCAATCCCCCTCAGCTGAAGTGGTTTCTATATTGAGAGTTCCACAGATGGAATCAAAGATTAGCTGAGAGCCCACTGTCCCTAAGGAGTTTACAGTCAAATACTGTGATAAAATGTTGGCAAAGACTCATGTGATCTCCCTGATGTGGGCATTCCTTTCCCTAGAGCAGATCTCACCTCATCCCTACCTTCTTTTGTGGTGAGGGTCCCAAGCATGGGCATGGGCAGGTACTCTGCCCAGCACCCTGGGGCCCTGAGGCTACTTTGTGACTCTTGGGCTCTCTGTGGGTTTGTCGCCCACCTCCCCTACTAGCTGTGAGACCCTCTCTCACTGATCATCACTAAGGATGTTGCAGAATACTCTCTCATTGACCTTTGGGTCACCTGGAATGGTGATGCTTCTGAGACTGAAGAGCTGGGGGCAGGGGAAGGAGAGAGGGGATGGCTTTTCATGTCCTGGAGAAGTTTGGTTTCATTGATGTGGTCCAGCTTGACCTCCCCCTGGGCAATCCTAGGCCCAGCATACAAGCTGCTGAGCTATAGCTCTATAGGAGATGGAGGGAAGGGTGGTCTGGAGTGGGAGGGAAGAGCTGAAGAAGAAGGTCTGAGGTGTGACTGATTGTCCTTGTGTGTGAGTGAGGTTATAGAAGAGAGAAGTCATGGGAACTGGACAGGGGAACAGGATATGTTGGGGGGGTGCAGAAGACTATGAATTGGGGAAGAGGGGGAGTGATCTGATGGTGACGAGTGTCTGAGAAGAATGGGGAGGACCTGAGGCGAGTGATGAGGGATTGTGGCAGAGGGCCATTTGAATGTGGCTTGGGGAGCTGGGAGCCCACCCACTTCCTTTCCTGAAGCTGGGGATACAAGATGGAGCAGCCACCTTGGTGAAGGGGCCAGGAGACAGATGGGCATCTGTGCACACCAGAAAATGGAGGGACTGGGTAGGAAGAGATGGGATCTGAAATAGAATTTGTCAGTTGAGGCAGGTATGAAATGGCCTAGGGGACAGGGAGGGTGGAATGGACCAGGGACTGGGGTAAGAAGGGGCAGAGGACCCAAGGATGAAAGGAGAGGAGGCAGGAATTCATTAGTCACAATACACATAGAGAGAAACTGAACTGAGAGAAGCCTTTCAATGTGTCTAGAACCAGCACCTCCACCCTAGGGCTGATGCCTGCCTGATACCTCCCTGATGTGAATGGCCAGGGCAAGGTAGGGGTGCATTCTGCACCCTGGGGTGTGCCTCTGGGATCAAAGCAGTGGATACTTGTAAAAAGCCTTTATCCCAGAGCCTGGCACATGCTAGATGCTATGTGAATGCATATCCCCTTCCCCTTCCCCCTCTCTAGCATGATGGCAGCGTAAGGCCATGCCCAAGGGCTTGATCTAGAGATGCCCAAGGTCTCAGCAGAACTCCTGGGTCCATGCGTGTGTGCAGGGGTTTGATACGGTGCTTAGGCATCTCTCTGATGGTACCTCTGAAGTCAAAGTGGGAAGACCCACTCAGAGGCTGGAAGGATCCAGTCTGAAACAGAAGGTTCTAGAGGGTGTCAATGGGATTAGAAAATGGGATTAAGGTGTGTGATCCCAAGGAAGGGCAGGGCAGAAAGGTCAGGGCCTCAGGAAGAAGAGGAAGTGTGTCTAGGGGAAGAGGGGAAGGAAAAGGGAAAAGGAGATACCTTCTGGGCACTCCCAGTCCTTAACTGCCATCCTAAGCTTTCGGTCTACTTCTTGTGGAAAAGTACCAGAGAATTTAGGACCCTCACCTGACAGCCCAGGTTCCTGGTGTGTGTGTGTGTGTGTGTGTGTGTGTGTGTGTGTGTGTGTAAATGTGTGAGAGTGTGTATGTGTGTGAATGTGTGTAAATGTCTACACATATATATATGTATGTGAGTGTATATGTGTGTGGGTATATGTGAGTGTGTAAGTATGCATATGTGTGTGGATCTGCCTGACATATTCTCTGGTGACAGAAGCTTTGCCCCATCTAGACAGAGCAGACTTCGAAGTGAGGCTGGCTGGTGGCCCAAATCGCTGCACAGGACGTTTGGAAGTAAAAGTCCAGGGTGAGTGGGGGACTGTGTGTGATGACCTCTGGGGCAAGGAGGATTCCGAGGTCGTGTGCCGGCAGCTGGGCTGTGGAACAGCTTACCACCTTCAGAAGCCGGTGGGTCCTGGCATTGGCACTGGCACCATCTGGATGGATAATGTTGGCTGCCATGGCAATGAGTCGTCTCTCTGGGACTGCAGCCATCAAGGATGGGGTCAGCACAACTGTAACCATCATGAAGACGTGGGGCTGGTCTGCTCAGGTGAGGCCCGTGGGGAGGCCCCCACTGAAGAAGGCTGGGCATGAGGTTACATGGAGGAGGGGCAGCGCCTGAAAGCCAGCCAGCTTCTGACCTGGCCTGGACTCAGGACAACTCCCTAGGCAAGGGGGCTGCTTCACGTAATTGATTATTAATATTAAATTGAATTAATTGGCACTGAACTAGATTCTGGGGTTACAATGGTGCTAATGAGCAACAATCCAGAGATGTTTTCCGGGGATCCCAAAGCATGGGTTGGATCAGGCCCTCGGGGTTCTATAATGGAGGGTCCCAGTGGACAGCGGGAGCTGCTCCAAATGTTCAGTGTTCAGACCTTCCCTGTGCCCTCCACAGCCTCAGCCTCAGAGAGAACACTTTTGGGGCCACAGGAACTGACACATGAGGGGTTGCCAGAACATTAGTATTCAGGACCCAGGGGACAGTACTTTCGGGCCCTAAGACTTAGTCCAGGCCCATAGGGGAAACATGTTCTTCTCTGACCCCACAAGGCTTTGTACCAGGATTCCCTACGTCCTGTGCCCTCTCCCCCTCCGTCCTCTAACTTCACCTCTACCCCATCACAGGAATTACTGTGAAGTTCCCTCCTCCTTCCCAGCTTTCCCCATCACTGCCGTCTCTCTCTCCATGTCTCTCTTGCAGAAGGAGCAGATATGGAGCTGAGGCTGGTGGGTGGAACAAAAAATTGCTCTGGGCTGGTGGAAGTGCGAGTGCACGGACAGTGGGGGAGAGTCTGTGATGACAACTGGAACAAAGATGTTGCCAGAGTGGTGTGCAGGCAGCTCGGATGTCCCTCCCCCCAGAACGCAGTGAGCTGGTTTGATGGTGGCGAGGAGGTGGAGCAGATTTGGCTCAGCAATGTTCACTGCCATGGGAATGAGTCGGCCCTCTGGGACTGCGAATACAACGGATGGTCTAACTATGGCTGTGGGTCCCAGAACCATGCTAAAGTCATCTGTTCTGGTAAGTCACCTGGGCGGTGGAGGCGGGGAGGCATTTGGTCAAGAACTTTTCTTTCACCTTACTTCTACCCACAGGCTGCTAGCTGAAAGACTTGAGTTCAAGTTAAGCCTCAGATGCTTACTAGCTGTGTGACACTGGGCAAGTCACTCAACCTGTGCCTGCCTCAGTTTCCCCATCTGTAAAATGGGGAATAATGATAGCACCTCCCTCCCAGAGTTGTGATAATGACCAGGTGAGATAATATTGGTCATGCTCTGCAAACCTTATAGTGCATGTATGCCCACACTCTATTTGGGGTAAGTGACTTGCCCAGAGTCTCACAGCTAGTGTTATGTGTCTGAGGCTGGATTTGAACTCAGGTCCTCCTGACTCCAGTGCTTTATCCACTGCACCAACTAGCTGCCCCATGTGCACGCTTTTATTGCCATCATTCCATCTGTGAGTTGATCCCTAGCTTCTCCCCTCAGAGCCAAGCTCCTACCTAGAGATCTTTCTTATCTTTTGAAGATAGGAGACCCAGAGAAGGTCCCTTGACCTCTGAGTTATCTATTCCCATTGACCAATCACCTTTTACCTGCATCTCCACAGCAGACTCTGGCCTTGTAGAACTACAACCTTATGCCTCCATTTCCCTAGATATGGTCTGGCCTTAAGGAAGTTGAGTTGGCAACCGTAGGGAGGGGTTAGGCTTAGACAGGAGATTCTTCTCTGTGAAAGTTGGTCAGGGCTTGGCCTAAGCTCCTGAATGTGTGGGTGGAGAGAAGGTTTAACTAAGGAGGTTGAGGAAGGAGAGAAGTCAGAATGGTATCCATTTTATGAATGAACTTGGGTAACTGAGAGGACCGAGGTGTCCTCGATGGAAATAGAGAAGCTAGGAGAGGGGTGAGCATGGAGGAAAGTAGGAATAATTCTCATGTTGAGTTTGGTACCCCGAGGGACATCTAGGTGGAGATGTCCAGCAGGAATTTGAGGGCACTCAGCCCAAGTTCAGAAGAAAGGTTAAGTTTAGATAGACAGATTCTGGAGTCATCAGTGAAGAGACAGATGACTGGATCTGTGCAAGAAGATGAGATCATCAAGGGAGAGAGGTTTGCAGCATGAAAACAGAAAAGGGTCAAAGTCAGAGCATTTGGCATCAACACATTGTAGGCAATCAGCATGGTGAAAGAGCAGAGGATGAAAATGGGAGGGTTAGGGATGGTTGAAAGGGTTAGCTCCCAGAAGAGATTAAAAGGTGTGAGACAAAGGGGACAGGGAGAAGGTGAAAATCCAATAGTCACCTATAAGAAGGCCACTCTTCAGGTGTGTGATGGTTTTTTTCCCACTGGATGTAAGATGATGTACTAACTCTCCCTGCCACTTGGTGTTACCAGCAGAGGTGACACCCTTGCCATCTATGCCTTCATCTAAGTCATTGACCAAACTGTTGGGCAGCATGCCAACAATGGATCTCTGGAGTCCCCTCCAGGAGACTTCCCTCCAAATTCACAGCAGCCTCAGTGCCGGCTCTTCCAGTCCATCAGTGATGGAGCCTTCTCCCTGTCATCTGCTGTTCTCAGCCCATCCACCCCAAGGAGGAAATGGCTTCTCATAGACCCTGCCCTGGTCTTCAGTATGGTGCCAAACAATTTTTTTTTTTTGCCTTTCCCATTCATTTCTTGCCTCAGCTAATTCTGGGCACAGCGCTCCTGACAGTTTGTGGTCACTCTCAGTCACTCTCCTTTGCTCCCATTTGTTATTTATTTTCCTGATGTGATTTCATCAGTCAGTCAATAAATATTTGTTAAACACCTACTATGTGCTAGGATACTTAGTATATGTTAAGCACCGGGAAGACCTAATCTTGCCTTAATCCTAAAAGATGATCCCTGCTCTCAAGTAGGTTACAGTCTAATGGGGGGAACAACATTCCAACAACTAGGGTTGGGCAAATCACTTAACCTCTGTCTCAGTTTTCTCATCTGTAAAATGGGGATAATAATACCACCAGCCTCCAGAGTTGTTGTGAGAATCAAATAAAGCACTTAACACAGTGCTTGGCATAAAATAAGTGCATATGACAGTTATTATTATTATTATTACTTACAGACAAGCTAGATACAGGATAAATTAGGGAACATCAACAGAGAGAAGCCACTCAAATGAGAAAGGATGGAAAAAGCTTTCTGTGAAGGTTGGATTTTATCAGAGACTTGACGGAGTCCGGGGAATCCAAGAGGCAGAGATGAGGAGGGAGAATGCACGGGAGGCAACCAGTGAAGATGCCTGGAATCAAGAGATGGAGGGTCTTGTGCAGGAGCAGACAGGAGGCCAGGGGCACTGGATTGAAGAGGATGTGTCCAGGAGTGAAGTGTAGGAAGACCGGAAAGGGAGGAGAGCCTGGGTTACGAAGGGCTTTCAAAGACAGAGAACTTTTTATTTGATTGTAGAAATGACATAGAGACACTTGGAGTTTATTGAGTGTGAGGGTAACGAGTCAGACCTGTACTTCAGAAGGCTGGATTTGACAGTTCAATGGAGGATAGATTGGGTGGGGGAAAGACTTGAGGCATGCAGCCTCCCTCCCAACAGCTATTGCAATAGTCCACGTGTGAGATGGTGAGGGTCTGAACCAGGATGGGGCCAGTGACATGGGAGAGAAGGAGCTATATTGGAAAGATGTTACAACGGTGCAACAATTGATTGGATGTGGGAATGGGGAAAAAATGAAGCACTGAGGATGTCACCCAGTGGTCCTGGGTGACTGGGGGGGGTGCCCTCCACAGTAGCAGGGAAGGTAGGAGCGGGGGAGGGTTTGGGGGAAAGATCATGAGAAAGATCTCTTTTGGACGTGTTGGGTTTCAGATGTCTACTAACCGTCTGGTTCTTGATGTCCGAAAGGCAGTTGGAAATGAGAGATTGGAAGTGAGCAGAGGTTGGGACCAGAGAAGTAGATCTGAGAATCATTAGGATAGAGATGATAAAGGAAGGGAAGTCACACTGCTAGGTGTTTGAGGCCAGGTTTGAACTCAGTTCTTCCTGACTCTTGGCCTGGAGCTTTATCCACCGTACCAACTAGTTGTCTCAATGATTGAGTCCATGAGATCCTCAGTGTGGAAACTCTCCACTAAGGCAAATTAACACCTCATCGTAATCTGTAGTCTTGGTATGGAGCTGCTGGAGACACAAGCGGTGAAGTCACTTGCCCGTGCCCATGTTTGTCCCTGTCTCCCAGCTGCTTCTTCCATCTTTCATAGATGTCTCTGACGGATGAGGTCTCTAAACACTGGCCAGGGTCTCTGTGTAGTTCACTCCTCTTGGTCTCATCATCTATTTTGGGAATTTCAGCTTTCAAACTTTCCCTCTCTTCCTGAGTCCTCTGAATGCTTTCTTTGACTTTATCTCCCCCAGAAGCCACAGAGTGTGCTGGTTTCCCCTCCTTTTCAGTCTCAGACTCTTGGACAGGCCAGAGGACTGCCTGATTAAGCTCCTCACCTCGCTCCTGCCGTAGAACTCAGAGTCACAGAATTTAGAGCTGCAAGGGACCGTAGTGGCCATCTTCTCTCACCCTTCCATGAAGGGATCTCCACAACAACACAGTCACCTCGCCTCTGCTGGAAGACCTCCCAGGAGGAGGAACCTACCCCCTCTCCAACCTCAGAACAGCTCTTATGGGGAACAGGATTTTCCTTGTATCCAGTCAAATCAGTGTCTCTGAAAACTTTGCCCACTGTCCTTTCCAATGGGCTTTCACCTTAGGACCATCTACTTTAAGACAGAAAAAACAAATTTTCATAGGTCTAAGCAAGGGGGAAAGTGTGACCCTAAGGTGCAGGTCTTAAGTGAAGAATGGCCTTTGATCCCTTAAATGGTGAAGGTTGGGCACCTATGTCTGCAGGAGGCCTGAGGGCATCAATCCCTGGGAAGCAGAGCAGGGCCGGGCAGCCAGGCCGGCGAGAAGGAGGCAGAAGGGAAGGCAATGTCAGAGCAGGACTCAGTTACCAAATGCTCTGGAGAAGTAATAACACTGGACACACTGATAGCCCTTCATGTGCACCTCCCAGAGGCCTTGTGAGGCAATTACTAACAGGTACATGGTGGAGGAGGAAGGCACTCACTGATGTGCCCATGGTGCCATTGTTAGGAAGGATTGGCGTCTCCAAGGCTGGCATCCTGTCTATTCCTCCACATGGCCTTTTAGGGAGCCTAAGGATCGAGTGTGAGGAGGTGCCACTGTCATGGCCCCTGATGACCTTAGAGAGGGTGGAGAGCAGAAGCCACTGGGCAGACCATTTGAGAAGCTGCATCACCCACCCCCGTGGTCACTTCTGTGCTTGACTTCCCCTTCATCTCCTGGAGGGAGCCACTTCTCAGTCCCTGACAGACTTAGTAGTCCCCAAGAAATTAGGGACATCAGAAGAAAGGCTGGTGTGGAGAGGGGAGAGGTGCCTCCATCAGATGGCCTCCTTAGGAAGCCACCAGTTAACATCATCTAGAGGTGTGGCCCCTCTTCCCTAGTCTGCAAATGGCTAGGCAACCCGTGCTGGGGAAAGAGAGCCCACACTGCCCCGGAGCAGCTCATTCCAGGTGGGGCCCCCAATATCATTTCTACAGCTTGCTTCTGGCTTCATCCTTGGAGACCCAGGAAGGAGCCCTCCTCCACAGGGTGGGCCTTTCTCTCCACTTCTGCCTCGATCCCTCTCCGCCCCGACTTTTCCCACATAGGTTCAGCTCCTTCAGCCAATCCTTGTATTACCTTCCCCATCCTGGGCGCCTTTTCTAGCTGCTCTCCAGCTCATGGCCTCAGGGGAGCATGGTCACTAGGGCACAGGACTTAGAGTCAGGAAGATTGAATTCAAATCTTCCCTTACTTGCTAGCTAGCTGTGTGACCTTGGAGAAGTCACTTCACCTCACTCTCAGCTTCAGCCTTGAATTCAATCGAACCCCCAGATCTTTTTTTTTTCCTCACCAGCTGCTTTGTTAGGTCTAACTCTATTTTCTGATCTTGTACTTGTGATGTTGATTTTTTGGACCATGGTTAAGACCTTACAATTATCCCGATTAATTTCATCCTACAGTTCAGCCCAGTCCCCTGGGCTGCCAAGATTGTCTTTTATCTAGTATGTTAATAATCCTCCCCAGCAAATCCAAATCATGGAGAGCAATGCTAACCAGTTCAGGGCCAAGTGAGTGATCATCCTCCCAGACCCAATCCTGCTTTGGCCTGGAAGCTCTGGTTTGCTCCATTTCTGACCTGGTTGGTTCTCCCTGACTTAGGCAGCTTGGTAGGGCCCCCCTTCTTCTCCTGGGGCTCCCCGTGTTGGTGCCTGGCTTGGTAGAGACAACGGATCAGCTCAGGCCCACTACTATAGGTCAGAACCTCTGAGCTCAAGCAACCCAGCAGCCTCAGCATCCTTGGAAACGCTGATTTAGGCCTGCGTTGCTAACCTAACTGAGAGGATCACACAGGCAAGTCAAGGGATTATTTGCTATTCTGATTTTGGCAGAGAGAATTCGAGCCAATGAGTGGATAAATAAAATCCACCATCGAATGATAAAGCACAGTACAGAGACTAGTATGCAGTAGGTGCTTTCCCCCTTCTGCATCAGGACTCTACCCTGCCAGGCTTGGGATTTATTTCTTAAGCTCTTTGTCACTTCCTTGTTCTTATCCAGATGCTCTCTAGCATAATTTAATGATGAAATCACTTCTGTTTCTCCCTCGGTTGACCCTCACCTGTCTCTGCCGGGCTCTCCCTACTCCTGAATTGCCTTTTGAAGAAAGAATGCTTCTCCCCTCCCCCTGCCTCCATCCTGTTTTTTTTTGCCAAGGCTACTCCTGTTCGGAGCCATCTTCCAAGCAGGGGTTTCACTGCGTCACATCTCAGTGATGCCTGTCAGACCAAATCTGCCTCCTTGAATTAGAATCCCCAGGTCCTTTGCTTGCTGGTTCTTTAAACGTCAGATATTTGTGTTCAGGCAAAATGAAGTCAGTGGTTTTATTACTAAGCTTTTTCTCAAAATCTTAGGGGTACACACTGCTTTTCCTTTTCCTTTCTTGTAGCTCCTTTCTATCTTGCTGGGCATGCATAGCTGGTCCTCTTCCCCTCTCCTTGGCGATGTTAACGTCCTTTTGTCAGATGGATGACTCCAGGAGAACCCATTCTCTCTCTGTCTATCATGCCTAGGTCTTCAGATGTGGTTCACAGGTCTAAACCTAGTTCTCAGACCCCACTTTCTTGGCCAGCCGGTGACCCCATCCCCTCCTCCCCCAATTCAGTGTTCTTTTTATAGCCTGGATCCCAGCAATCTTCATTTGCTTGCCCAAGACTTCACAATCTGCGACAATACCTTCTAGATCTCTGGCAGTGAGTGTGATTTCTATCCTCATGAATCACCAGGAGCGTGTAGGCACCACCTGTTTGGATGAGTCCTGAGAGGTGCCCTGAAGTGTCTTGGATACGTGCCTTAGCCCTTATCAGAGTCACAAACCACAGCCTCGGTGCCCTTGCGCAGGGTTGCCATGGCTATCCGCACTCGGTCCGCCCCCACCCCCGGCATCTTCTGGGCTCTGTTTCACAGCCCCGGGAGGGAAGGCGGCTGCTCCCTCCTCCTCAGAGCAGTCACCTTTTGCGTTGGCAGGATAAGCCTCCGGTTCCCCTCTTTCACTCCGCTCAAGCTGCTGTTTTTTCCTTCACCTCCTCCTCTTGAAGACCCCAAATTAACTCTTCAGCTTCCTAACCAGGTCAAGTTTTCCCTCCCCCCTTGCAGACCCTCACTTCCCTGCTTTGATATCTCACTTCTGGTCTGGTTTGTTTCATCAGGAACATTTCACTTTCCCTCATAATGAAGAGTGGGGGGAGATGTCCCTCCAGTTCCTTCAACCTCTCTTCTAGGAGGGAGACTAGTTAGCCAGTTACCAGGCATTTATCAAGCACTTACTATATGCCAGACATAATCACTGGGCATACAAACGGAGGCCTGTCCTCCAAGAGCTTCCATTCCAACAGAGGAAGACAGTGCAGAGAAGATCAGTCTCTGGGCTGAGGCAGACGGCATCTCACCCTCAGGGCAAATCCACGCAGATCTCTCCGCCTTCTCCCCACACCTCCTGATTCTACTGGGGAAGTACAGGAAATGTAACTCTATCTAATCTTACCAATATTTTCTAAGCACACCCTCATAGAGTGGCCTTGTCAAAGTCCCATGGACCTACCGCACAGTCAAGCCCACATTTGGCACAGCCTTAGAGGGCACAACCTGGCCATGCAGAGATGCTGGTTGACCCCATCATGGGATCTGGCAAGCTTATTCTATGTGATGATTCTCTGTCCCTAAACTGAGAAAGAAGCACCTGTCAAGAGGGAAGAGAGGGGGTCTGCTAGGTGGCTCAGGATAGAGTACCAGCCTTGGAGTCAGGAGGATCTGAGTTCAAATCCAGCCTTAGACACTTATGAGCTGTGTGATTCTGGGCAAGTCACTTAACCCTGACTGCTTCAAGAAAAAAAAAAAGAGGAGGAGGGAAAAGCATCCATCCCATATCTGGTCACCTATCCATAGACCAGACACAATCAGGAAACCCACCTGAGGTGCCAAGACTTGGTGGGGGCTCCAATTTTCATGCGTGTGCTTGTGTATGTGGGGCAATGGATAAGGGAGGGAGCAAGGTCTGAAAGGTCTGGCTCTAGGAGATCTTTCATATGATGGAAATCTCTCTCATTTACAGATGAGGACGAATTGGAGCTGAGGCTTGTTGGGGGTGGCAGTCAATGTGCTGGGACTGTGGAGGTCCAGATGCAGGGCCTGGTGGGCACTGTGTGCCAGTCGGCAGTGAACATGGAAGCAGCTGCGGTGGTGTGTAGACAGCTGGGATGTGGGTCCGCCGTCAGCATCTCCCATATGGATGGCTTTGAAGAGGTGACGGTGCGCAGAGGTCTCAACAGCGTCACTTGCAATGGGGAAGAGGGATCTTTTTGGGATTGCAAGAGCTGGTGGTGGGGAACAAAGCCTTGTGACGCCGGATCCAGAGTCATCTGTTCAGGTAAGTCTTGGTCCCAGACACAGATGAGATTGTGCTGTGCCTGCGATCCAGCGCAAGGGGATCCACTGCCTGCTTGTAGGCGGTGAAGCCGAGGCTCCAGCCTCACCGGAGGCAACCAATCCCCAAACCAACCACTCTTCTGAGTCCTGGGCTGGTCCTCCAGACCCCATTCCACAGTCCCCAGAGACAACACAACCCCAAACCTTGGATCTCAAACACTGATAGGCTTCAGGACTTGTGGTGAGGGTCCTAGAAGAGGCTTACAGGAGTTAAGTTAATCCCAACGAGACTCCAGGGATCATTAGGGTAGAGCAAATCCTGATGATTCTCGGAGTGCCAGAGACCCTCTGCTAGGAGCAGAAACCTCCTGGCCCTTCCTGAGAAATTCCTGTCCACAGGCTGCAACCTGAAGAGCCGCCACACTCCCCCTTTGCCAGGACACTGGGTCTGACACAGATAGAGGGCCTGGGGAACCATCGGGGCTTCCATTTCAATGTCCCATGGAGGCCTGGGGCTTGGAGCCCCACCCCTGCCTCACACTTGGAAGGAGGAGCTTGTGTGGCTGCCGCCCATTGGGACGTGGTAGAGTAGGAGGCATACACTTCAGGTTGGTCTCCTGCCTTGCAGGATCCAGGGGAAGCTCAATCAGGAAGAACCTGCCAGACTCAGCATTGCCCTCTTTGGCCTCCTTGCCTCAGTCTTGCCCCATTTCCAGGCCCCCAGAGAAAGAAACAGTACACACACTGGATGGAACACAGGGAGGACAGACTCTCAGGGAGGGCACCCAGGATGGAGCACGAACTTCACGTGTTCACATCCACCCCCACCCCACAGTTATAGAGAAACACACAGACGGTCACACAGTCAGTGATGGGAGGCATTCCAACCACCAAGTTCACTTCTGGGGACGTCAAAGCCCACACACTCACTAGTCACTCTGCTTGTGTGACATGGCGTGTTGGTCACCAGAGATCAGCTATCTGCTGGCCTGGGTCAGTTGGCCAGTGAGTGACTCCTCTGCCTCCTGACCAGCTTTAGCCAGACTAGCTCACACAGACTGCTCTTCAGGGCTGGCTACAACTCTCCTTCAGGTTTCTAGGGGATATCCCTGAAGGGACTTTTCTGCAATGCTTCAGCCTGAGCCCCCATTCTGTTGGGTTTTCCCCAATATAAAGGACCTTTTACAGTAATTATCTGTCCCATATTATTGACTCAGTGATTCTCCTTCTCAAGTTATTTAGACAACTAATCTCAATTAGTTTTTACAAAAAGATATTTTCTAAGAGGGTTTAGTAAGAGCTACAGTGCCGCCCCCTCCCCCCCCACAGCATCAGAGATACAGTCTTCCCTCCATTACATCTTTTTGGATCATGCTTAAATCAGCTGCCACCAAGTGGTTGCCCCATGCAGTTCACTTCCAAAGGTGGCGTAACCACTAGAGGAGTCTCTCCTTGGCGGACGTAGAGTGCACCCACTGATGCCTAGTGAGCTGCTGCTGCTGCCTTCCTTGCCTCAGCTGCTGGCAAACTCTGGCATGGGCTCCAGTTCCTAGACCCCTTGTGGATCTCCCAAACTGCTCCCTTCCCCTGCACCTGGGCCTTACCACCAAAAAAATTTTTTTTTTCATTTAGCAAAAATTTATTTTCTTTCTCTCCCACATTCATCCTTCTATTGGAAAAACACAACAACAACAACACTGTAGTAAGTACTCATAGTCAAACAAAATAAATCCCTATATCAGCCTTACCCAAAAAAAATGCCAACCCACAGCCTGGTTCTATCGCCTCTCTGTCAGGAGGTGGGTAGCACATCTCATGACTGGTCCTCTGGAATCACAGTTGGTCATTGTGTCAATTAGAGTTATTAAGTTCAAAGCTGTTTGTGTTGACAATGTTGTCATTATTGTACAAATTTTGGGGGGTTCTACCCTACTCTGCATCAGTTCATACAAGTCTTCCCAGGTTTCTCTGAAACTATCCCCTTCATCATTTCTTAGAGCACAGACGTGTTCCATTAAATTCAAGTAATATAATTTACTTGACCACTGTCCAACTGATATGTATGTATACATACACCTATGTTTATGTGCGTGTGTGTGTATATACACAAATGTACACATATGTATACACACATACATATAGTCAGCTAGGTGAAGTCCACTCCTCAAAATGTGGACGAGTCTAAGCTGGGTTGAAAGCAGAAAAGTTTTATTAGGAAGAAAATCAGACACTAGTGCTGAGGCCCCCACTCCCGCCCCCGTACTAGGTACAAAGGAGTCCACAGCCCAGGAGGGGCAGGGTTGATTTATGCTTGAAAACCACAAAGAAGAGGTTCAGGGAGGAGTTGAGAAAAAGAATGGACAATCTTTCCCAAGAACAGGTGGGCAGAGAAGCAGAACGTTTTGCAGGAACAGTTGAATGCAAGGCTGGTTTGGGCTAGTTGGTTGGCAGTGGGGATGGTGGCAGTGAAGGACACAGTTCAGCAAGGTCAGCCAATGAGCCCTAGCAAAGGCATCTAGGAGTGAGCAAAACTTTGGTTCATTGCAGGCTCCTCGATTGGCTCCTTTCAGCAAACAGACTTACTCTGTATCCAGTGCATCTACCTGGTAAGGTAACTCAGAGAAAACAGACATCTCAGGGGCATTTCCACAGTATATGCTGGAAATGAGACCCTTGTCAGAGAAACCTGCTCATCAGTTGTTTTTGGTTTTGTCTGATGCTTTGTGACCCCATTTGGGGTTTTCTTGGCAAAGATACTGGAGTTGTTTGCCATTTCCTTCTCTAGATCATTTGCTAGATGAGGAAACTGAGGCACACAGAGTTAAGTAACTTGTCCAGGGTCACACAGTTAGTAAGTGTCTGAGGCCAGATTTAAACTCAGGAAAATGAATCTTCCTGACTCCAGGCCCAGTGCTCTTTCCGCTGTGTCGCCTAGCATTACAAAGAATTTTTTCCCCAGTTAACTGTTTTCCTTCTAATTTTAGCTACATTGGTTTTGCTTGTGGAAAAACCTTACAATTGCATATAATAGAATTCTCCCTGTTATCTTCTGTGATCCTTTCTATCTCTTGTTTGGTCATGAACTCTTCTATCAATAGATCTGAAAGGCAATCTTTTTTTTTTATTCTACTAATTTTTTATGATGTCACTCTTTGTGTTGAAGTCATGTATCTTTGTATCTTGGTACATGGTGTGAGATGCTGGTCTATGCTTCATATCTGACAGAATGCTTTTCAGTTTTTCAATTAGAGTTAGCCAAATACTGCATTCTTGTTCAACTCATTGGGGTTTGGGGGTTTATCAAACACCAGTCTCCTGTGTTTCTTTGTATGTTTTGTACCTAATTTGTTTCACTAATTGGTCTTTCTATCTTTTAACCAGTACCAAACCCCCATTGATGGAATTCTAGTTGAACTTGTGTCTGAACTATTTTTTTTTTTGAGGCTTTGCTTGTAGATGTTTTGAAGTCATTTTCTTTTTCTGGCTTATCCCTGTCATCACAATAGTGCTTTGTGAGATTCTTTTGGGTTTATTCACTTTTCCAACTTTACTTCCAGAATTAGGACTTTGTGTTAGGGCCAGGTTTGGTAAATTTCTAGAGGGAATGTCTGAGTCTTGTATAAATCTGTTTTGTATACTCTTGAATCCTTTTGGGTATTGAGTGCTGTGTTCCTCAAGAATCTCAGGGGAGATTCAGCGTGGGAACTTGCAAACCTTTAGTGTGTCCAAAGCTATCTTATTCATCGCATGGTGTGATCCTTGCCCTACTGATCTGAGCTTTACAAGTTCCTGACAAGGTTTGAGTTGGGGCAATATAACCATCTGCTTGGCCCTGGTTGGAGTTCCAACAGACTGCAGCTGTCCTTGGCCACCATTAGCCACCTGTAAGTTGAGGCAGATTCAGAGACAGAACTGAAAGCCACCCCTTTCATCTGAGCTGTCTGTCCTGGTCATTCAACTGTAGCTCTCAGAGCACGCCTGGGGCTGGATCTAAGACCTCGCTTTTAGGTCAAAGTCACACACTTGTTGTTACTCCCTTGTGTTCCTGCTTCTTGGCTGGTGCATAGCCTCAGACCTGCGACTGTGTAGCTCACCACACTGAGGTGCATAGTTCCTCTTCTCTCTGTACTAGATCTGTGACCCAGCTTCTCTGTGTGCTGTATCAGACCTGTAGCTCTAACTTCTCTTGGCCAATGCACAGTCCCAACACCCTGCTCAGCATTCTCATGCTGCGTGGTGCTGTCCTGGCTAAATCTTGCCTCCAGTGTCTGTATTCCTTGGTCTGTCTTTTCATGCCAGTCTGGGCTGGGAAAGTGACTCATCATGATTTTTCCTTGGATTTCCCAATGAGTGCTTGGTCTGGAGCTTGTCTAAGCCTTTGTTGAAGTAGTTCTGTGAGCTGGGCTGCAGCGCTTCCTCCCTCCTCGCCATCTTGGTCAGTTTCTACTCTTCTGACCTTTTGAAACTTAGAAGGTCACAGACCTGAAGACCAAAGACAAACAAATGCACATAGGCAAGGGAGAGAGGTGCCGCATGGCCCCTGTCCCTGGCTGTACCTCTCCCTACACCCAGAGGCTCCTGTAAATCATTGCTCACTCACCATCATGAAGAGAAGGCTCATCCCTTTGTGTACACATAATCACTTCTATCTCGGAAGCCAACCAATAGACTTTCCCTTCACTGTGTGCTGGATGGAATGAAACAGTCAGGCTCTGTGCCCTGCTCAGACGCTCACAGGGGAGACATCAGCAGCAGAACACACTCTGGAAGGGCTTAAGGAGGGTGCTTCTGGCTTATCTGCCAGATAACACACGGGATGGTCACGCTGATTTCTGTGCACTCCTTGAGATCTTGCCCATAAGAGGTATTCAGTAAGTGCTTGCTGACTGAATGGCACCGAATGAAGGCGAGCACATGAGGCAGCTGGGCCCACAAGTCGCTCTTCCTCAAACGTGGCACGTGTGTGCCCTCGGGATGGGGGAGGCACAGGAGGATAATGGGAATGACTTCCGCTTCTAGCTGTGGTTCATCTTTCCCACGTTTTGTCCTAAGCACCCTCGGTGTTTCGCCAAACACAGAGACTAAGATATTAGGTGACAAAGCGACTAACATGGAGATGTTTTACACGATTACACGTGCATAACCCATGTCAGATTGCTTACCATCTCAGGGAGGAGATAGTGGAGGGAAGGAGGGATAGAATTTGGAACTCCAAACTTTACAGCGAATGTTAAAAATGTTTTTTACATGTAATTGGGGAAAAATAAAATATTTAAAGAAAGATATTAGGGACTTGCCTATGGTCACATAATGTCTCCAGTGGAATTGTCCGCCTTGCGTTCTTGGCCCTGGAACATCGAGGACCCACTCTGAATTAAGCCTTTTTGTTCCCCAGAGCACATGAAGGCAAAGCTGGTTGGAGGGCACTTTCCCTGCTCAGGAAGAGTTCTGGTGAAACACAACGGCACCTGGGGCTCCATCTGTGCACATGACTTCTCTCTCCCCACAGCCAAAGTGCTGTGCGGTGAGCTTCAGTGCGGTGACCTTGTCTCCGTGGTGGAGGCAGCTCGTTTTGGAGAAAGAAAAGGACAGATCCTGGATGAAGAACTGAGATGCAAAGGCAACGAGTCCCATCTGTCGCTGTGTCCCAGGGTGCTCCTCCCAGAGGGCAGCTGTACTGACGGCAGGGACATCGGAGTCATCTGCTCCCGTGAGAGTCAGAGAGCTCATTGCCTCTCTCCTCCCCCTCCCCTTCCCTCTTCACCTCTACTTCGTTCTTGGTTGGCCCAGGTGCTGACATCTGGGACGGCTATGCGTGTCCTTCCCGTATCTGTTTTGCCTTATCTGGTGATTGTCTGCCAGCTTGCTTTGCGGCATCGTCCCCAATGTTTCCTCATAGGACTGCCCCCTTCTAGGGCTTCCCTTCTCTCTCAGACCCTTTGGGAATGAGGTCTCTACTCTTTAAGTAGCCCCATTGACTCAGAATAACCGTACCTATGCTTAGACCTCCCTCTGAACTACTGGCCCAGCCCCATTCAACCCAACTTGGCTCTGGACTCTAGTCCAAAACATTGTCTCCTCTGCAGGGTACATGGGCTCCCGGCTGACTGCTGGAAGCTCTAGGTGTGAAGGCCGAGTGGAAATTCAGATCCAAGAAGGTTGGGGAGCCCTGTGTGACTCTTCCTGGGATTTGGCTAATGCCAATGTCCTTTGCAATCAGCTTGACTGTGGAGTTGCTCTCTCAATTCCCAAAGGAGCCCATTCGGGAGAAGAAAGAGGCCAGATCTGGGGTCACATGTTTCACTGCTCAGGAATGGAGCACCACCTGGGGGATTGTCCTGTGACTGCTCTGGGGGCTCCTGCATGTACCAGTGGAGACACTGCCTCAGTGATATGCTCAGGTAACAAAAGGGAATTGACTGGAGGGCCATAATCCAGGGGCAGAGGACTCACCTTTGGAAGAAAGGGTGAAGGGGTGGCCTTAGCCTGAGCCTCAGGGAATCACAGGTGAGGAGAATGGAGGGCAGGGAGTTGCTCCCAGGAGAAGGGGGCTTTCCCTGTGGCAGGGAACAATTCAGACGGACCACAAAGAACAAGGACACTCTTGCTTGGGCTGGACAACACCCTCTACTCAATCCTCCCCCTCCCTGCTCCCCCCAACTGGCCAACCTGTTCACCCTCCACATATATGTCTGACAGTGGGCTGAGCAGATACATGTTTGTAGGAAACCGGACTGAAACATGGGCCCCATGCAGTGACTCCCTGCACAGCCCAGCTGGGGCTACTTTTCGCTCAAGGAATTCTACGGGATGCTCAGGTGAGAACTGGGGGGAACTCCTCTGAACCAGGGAGTGTGAGGCCCTATAAGTCAGCACTGAGTCTCACCAAGCATTGTTCCTTGCAGAGATCCGTGAGATCCGCCTTATGGATGGAGGAGACCGCTGCGCTGGCAGAGTGGAGCTCTACCATGAAGGCTCCTGGGGCACCGTCTGCGATGACTCCTGGGACTTGAACGATGCCCATGTAGTGTGCCGACAGCTGGGCTGTGGAGGGGCCTTGAATGCCACCATTTCGGCCTACTTTGGACGAGGATCAGGGCCCATCTGGCTCGATGACCTGAGGTGCTCTGGGGATGAATCCCAGGTGTGGCAATGTCCTTTTCGAGGCTGGGGTCGTCACAACTGCCGTCATAAAGAAGACGCAGGAGTTATCTGCTCAGGTCTGTCAATGAGAGGAGAAAAGGCAGAGGGAGGGAGGAAGAGAATGGCTCACTGCGAAGGGAGAAGCCCCATACTTAACCCTGACCTTGGGGGCTGGGGTTTCTGAAACCCTAGCCCCAGCTACAGCCCCTCAGCCCTGAAGTCATAGGCAAAGTCTGACTGACAGTACCTGGATTGGGCAGGGTGGGGACGAGTGGGGGTGGTGCTAGCCCTTACACAAAGAGCCCCCTAGAAGTTTACTTTTTTAGCCACAAGTCAAGAACAAGTGTTCTGTTTTTTTTTTAATAATATTTTATTTTCCCACAAATTATATGTTAAAACAATTTTTAACACTTGTTCTTTTTAAAATTTTGAGTTCCAATTCTATCCATCCCTCCCCCCCTTCCCTCCCCCCTCCTTAACATGGTAAGCCATATGTTATAGGTTATATATGTGTGCACATGAATAGGAGTGAAAGAGGTAGATGATGGGAATGGTTAAGGACTGGTGTTTGGCAAGGTGTGATGGGTGATTGGACAAGGGGAAATTTGGGATTAGAGAGTAGAACATGGTATAGAGTAGCCCTGGTTCCCCAAAGGACTGGAATTGAAAAATGAGTAGAGTAGACAGAGCAGGGGTCATTGATTGCCTGAGAGGTGGAGGACATGGAGGTCCCAAGGAAGGGGAAGAACAGGGTTAAGGATCTGAAGGCATTGGGAAAACTGGAATGATCAAAACTTGTGGTCAGATAAAGGAATTCCAGAGTTCATGAACTTGGATCCAGAGTGAGGCTATCTCTGTATGTGGCTGAGAGAACTGGAGGAGTGAGTCAAGGGGACTGAGGAGAATAACTGGGAAGCTGGCTATTGGAGGGAGCCTCAGTTCACATGTGGAAACGCCTTAGCATGAAGGCAGGAGCTGGGCGGGAGAGAGTTCTCCTTTCCTTTTTCTAGCTTCTCTCTATGACTCCCCAAGTCCAGGAACCAGCTCCCTTCCTCCAGTGGATTCTGTTACCCAAAATGTCTGGATCATGGTCACAATGCCTTTGCCCACTTTTCTGTCTCTTTCTTCAGTTCCTCCCATGCAGCCTTCTTTCAATAGGAAATCTCTCTGTTAAACTGGTATCACCAAGTCCTTCAAGGAGGAGAAATACCCTCCTATCATTCCTGGTCACCCTTGCCTTCCCCCAACCAGGTGCTTAGTATATGTTTGTGAGAATACGTTGGACTGGATCTGGAGAAGTGGCAGAGTTGTAATGAGAACAACCCTGGATCACTCTTGACTTAACTCTCCGAGTCTTAGTCTCTTCATTTGGAAAAAGGTCTTGTAGTCGATGATTTCATAGAACACTTATAACTATCATTAAAAAAAAAAGAATCCCCACTGGTTAATACATAACCAAAGAAAGTGCTAACCAACCCCTACCCCCAGACCAGGGGAAAAAAATAAATGAACCCAGACTAGTCATTGTAAAGGATTATACGTGGAAATGTCCAGACCAGTTATTGATCATTTTAAAAAAAGAAACAAAACCTACATGTGCTACCTTAATAAGGCTACAGGTAGCAAAGCATTATGATGTAGTTCATGTGAATTCTATTGCTGTCTTTATATATAATAACTTGATATGAAATAACTATATAATAAATAAAATATGATTTTCCAAGGTGAGCAGGGTGAGGGGGTGAAGCAACAAGGTCTTTCCAAAATGCAGTTGTCCTCATGTCCATGGAAAAGGGAAGGTTTCTTGGAAGATGCCTGGATGAGGTTGTTGTAAGGTCAGGTGTGTGGAAGTTGGCTTAGCTAACTGTGGAAGTGACCTTCTATGGTGAAAATCCCAACTCCTTCAGGAGGCATCACGATGCAGGGACACACACTGCGGTTGTCTCAGTTCCTGGAGAACTGACCAGAGCAGGGGGGGGCATCTTATGCCCAGATGTTATTCAGGAAACCTCTTTCATCACTAATGCCTTTTCTCTCTAGGGGTCCTGGCTTTGAGGTTGCACAGTGATACCAGTACTCAGGACTGTGCCGGACGCTTGGAGGTCTATTACAATGGGAGCTGGGGAAGTGTTGGCAAAAGTAGAATGACCGCAGTCACTCCCAGGCTGGTGTGTGGTCAGTTGGGCTGTGGGGACAATGGAACAGTGCGAGATGCCCCTTCCCATAAGGCAAGCTCCGGGTTCACCTGGGTTAACGATGTTCAGTGCCCTGATGGGCCTGCCTCCGTCTGGCAATGCCCATCTGCATCGTGGGGGAAGAAATACCTGAGCCCGGCGGAAGAGACCTGGATCACCTGTACAGGTGAGTGTCCTTGTAGCCAGGTTAAGGCTCAGGGGAGGCTCAGGAGGCCGAGGTCTGGGAGCAGATTCATTCTGCCCACCTTTCAGCCTGGCCAGGTTCACTTACCTTTGGGAACATTCCAAGAGCACACAACTAGGCATCTGATCCTAATTCTCTCTCTTAATCAGACACAGAATATTTGAACTGGCAAAGTCACTGATGCTCTCTGGGTCTCAGTTTCCTCTTCTTTAAAATGAGAATTTCTGGTTTAATGATATTATAATAATGCAAGGCAACTCAAAATTTCTATCATCCGGTAAGACAGTCAATAAAATTTTATTAAAATAATTAAATTTACTGTCAATAAAATTGATTAATTATTAACTTCTATGGGCCAGGCACTTTGCTAAGCACTGGGGATCCAAGCACTTAGAAGAACAAACAGTCCCTGTTTTCAAGGAGTTCATAATCTTAAGGGGGAAACGTGCAAACAATGACATGGAAATAAGATATAGACAGGAGGGTCAGCAGAGGGAAGGCATTTAGCATTGGGGGGCAAAATGCAGGGGATGTGTGTGTGTGTTAAAGCTTCCTGGAGAAGGTGAGATTTTAGGTGGACTTGAAGGGAGATAGGGAGGGTAGGAGCCAGCCAGGAATAGGGACAGCCAAAGAAAGTGTTGGGAGTTGGAATGTCTTCTTCAAGTAACAGCCAGGAGACCAGTGTCACTGGGTCACAGAGAACAGGTCGGGGAGGGAGGAGGGACAAGACTGGAAAGGGAGGAGGAGACTGGGTTATGAAGAGCTTTGAAGGCCAAAGAAAGCATTTTGCATTTGATCTTAGAGGTGATAGGGAGCCTCTGAAGTTTGTTGAGTAGGGGGGTGATATGGTAAAACCTGCAATTTAGAAAAATCACTTTGGTGGCTAAGTGGAGGATGAACTGGAGGGGGCAGAGACTTTAGGCTAGCAGGATCCACCCCTCCAGCAGCTATTGCAATAGTTCGAGTGTGAGGTTATGAGGGTCTGCCCCACGGTGGGGGCAGCATCAAAGGAGAGAAGTGGGACTGGTACTTGAAAGCCTTGCAATGGATTGAATATGGGGGGAGAGAGTGAGGAGCTCAGGATGACACCTAAGTTGTATGAGGGGCTGGGAGGATGATGGGGCCACCCAAAATAATTCTGAAGAGGGGATGTTTTGGGGAAAAGAGAATAAGTTCAGGTTCTGATGTAGTAAATCTAAAATGTCTAGTGCAAGGGGTATATGGCGTGGAAGCCTAAAGAAGAGAGTATCTTGAAGAAAGGGTGATGGCCAATATTATAGACAGCAGAGAAGTCAAGGAGGGCAAGCACGGAGAAAAGGCCAGGTGATATGGCCATTAGGAGACCACTGGAGAGAGCAGCTTCCCTTGAGCAATGAGGCCTGGAGCCAACCTGCCTAGGGTCTAAAAAAGGAGAGAAAGGAGAGATGTAGGACCACAGCAAGATGGACAGATGGGTTTTTAGGGATGGAGGAGACAAGGGCAGTGTGTGGGTAGCAGCAAGCAGACAGACTGCAGATGGGTGAGAGGGCAGCATGCTGGAGAAGATGGGATGGAGCAGAATCACTCACACAGGTAGCAGGTTGATTTAGGAAGGAGAAGGTCCACCTCTTCATAGGAGACAGGCATGGAGGAGAGAGCAGCAGAAGGCCTCTGGGTGCTGTGAGATGAGAAGGAATAACCCTACTTCGGACTCTCAGAGACTTGCTCCAGTGACATGTGAGACCAGGATCTCAGCTGAAAGGGTAGGAGCAGGGAGAGCCCTGTGGAGAGTGGGAGAGGAAGGTCATTAGGAGGTTCTAAGCAGATGGCCTGGCAGCGGTGAGGCCCCAGTCCAGGTTGTGTCACATGAAACTTGTAGTGAACCCAATAAGCACAGTTTTGTGATTTTCCCTGGCTTCACTGTGTAGCCCCTGAGAAGGAACAAAAGTGGTCAAGTAGGTGGTGGAAGTGACCCATGACCGAGGCTCAGCAGGACAGGGCCTCCACTCCAGTGGACCTGGAATCTCATTTTCAATGTGGATAGCTGCCCCATCCACCTGACTCTTGTCCATATGTCCTTCCCCCAGTGGGCTGGGGCTTCTCTTGACTTTTTTTTTTAAGGCAATTGGGGTTAAGTGATTTGCCCAGGGTCACACAACTTGGATCAAGTGTTTGGTCTGAGGCCGGATTTGAACTCAGATCCTCCTGACTTCAGGGCCAGTACTCTATCCACTGTGCCACCTAGCTGCCCCTGATAGAATGTTGGTAGGATGAAGATAGGTCTTCATTTCAGGGAGCTGTTTGGGGGCAGCAAAGGGCTTCTGCATCTTTCAAAGGCAATCCAACCCCTTCTTCTCATCTTGTACTATTCTGATTTCCACTCACCATTCATGGGCTCTGTCCAGGGTAGAGCTATACTGATGAGGGAGTCCAACAGGCTATGATCCCAACTGGCCAATATTAGCCTAGAAAGTTGGCACTCTTCATGTAATTGTTTTATCATTATCAGAGAGGACCAAGGATGGTTCGACTCCTCTAGATTTCCAGGGAAGAGGAAAAGAAGTAGGCATTTATTAAGGACCTAAGATGTGCCAGGCACTGGACTAGCACTTACCCAGATAATTGGTCCACTAAGACTCAAATGGATAAAAAGAGAGCACTTAATATGAAACCATTATCCTTCTGAAGAGGAAAAAAATGTGAATTTCAATGACATTTACAAATATTGTTGAATGTTTTCAATAAAGGAAGCCACAAAGCTAGGGTCAACACACAATGGACCCATGGCTAACAGACCAAGGAGAGGAGACAAGGATATCTCCTTCCTTTTCCTCTCTGGGCAGGGTCCTTATTTGTTCACCCTTTTGCATCAATGGCCGCAAATGATTTTTAAAAAGATTCCTCATCTGTACTGCAGGATCGAGTATGGAAGGCTTCAATACTCCTGCTTAGCTCTCGGTTTTCTTTTCCTTTTTCTACATCTACTGAGATCCAGTTCTCATGCTCTGAGCAGCTTCAGCTCCATTGCTGACCCTTCCACTGATTGGCTGGGACCAGCCTATTCCCCAGTGTTAGGGTGTGAGTGCTGACCCTTGGCATGGACCTTTCCTGGAAACTTTCAGCTGTGGTTTCAGGGAGCTTGGGATGTCTAGGTGTCTTAGGGCACTTGGGGTGCTCTGGAGGGGAACAGTCAGTCATCTATGCCATAAAGATCTTAGGTAAAGAGTGGACCAAAGCTAGGTGCTGCACCTTTTTGTCTTGATTTGGTAGAGGGGATTGGAGAAGGAGAAATCTTTTGGGGGACTCAGAGATCTCTTCACCTCCCCCCATAGGCATAAGGCCACTTCGCTAGAATGCACTCTCTGGAACAATGACCGAATTCACCTTCTTTTTTGACCTAGGGTGTGCTTTATCTGTCTATTCTCTGTCATCCTAGGCCCAAGGCCCTGAGGCTTGGTGTGGTTTTCTCCCCCTGGTGAGCTGCCATTTCGTTTCAAAGGCCCTTGGCATGCTTTCCCCTGCCCCCCCCCAATCTAAGTCACTTAACTCGACTCCGTATGTTGGAAGACACTTTTGGTTCCACCCTTGACACCAGGAAATCTGGGCACTAAGACTTTCTTCCTATTCCCCAGGCTTCTCTTCAACCCACCCTCCAAATGCCCTAAATTCTTCACAGTTTGAACAGGCTTCTTTGAAACCTTTCAGCAGTAGAGGAGATAGCAATAGAATTCAGTGTGCTCCCCTCCCAGTCCCCACTCCCCACTCCCCACAAGCCATCAGTTTCTAGAATGAAAGTCCTGGTGGGGCTTGGTGTGATGAATCTGTGTGGATTCTTTGGTTAGGGACCTACAGCTGTTTAACTATGTTTAAAGGATGGGGTTCCACAATATCAGGCATGCTGAGGCAGAGACTGCAACTGTTTTCCCCTTTCTAGGTATCCACCCAGGGAACCGGAGAAGAATCTTAGGAAAAAATAATTTCCTTTTTTTTTCCACGGTCTTTTATTGAATGTAATTTTTATTGCATTATGATATGAAAAAGATACACTTAATATTACTCCTTTCCCAGAATTTGGCTATGATACTCTTTAGAGTTTTCATTTTGAGGTTTCTTTCAGGTGGATTCAGTGGATAATTTCAATTTCTGTTTTGCCATCTGGTTCTAGGATATTAGAGTATTTTCCTTGATTGTTTTTGAAATATAATGTTTGGGCTTTTTCTTTGATCATGGCTTTCAGGTAGTCCAATAATTCTTAAATTATCTCTTTTCAATCCATTTTCCATGTCAATTCCTTTTCCAATGACATATTTCACATTTTGTTCTTATTTTTAATTCTTTTGACTTTGTCTAATTATTTCTTGGTGTCCCATGGAATCATTGGCTTTTGTTGAGGTTTAGGGATGTAAGGGTGCTGGGATCCCAAAATCATAACACAGGGGTCCTGCCCAAAAGAATTTGACCCAAGCCTTCTTTCAGCCAAAGATAAGGTTTATTAGAACATCTGTCATGTCAGGCAAACTCTTTTATTTATTTATTTTTGGGGGGGTGGGGGGCTAGGCAATGGGGTTAAGTGACTTGCCCAAGGTCACACAGCTAGTAAGTGTTATGTGTCTGAGGCTGGATTTGAACTCAGGTCCTCCTGAATCTAGGGCTGGTGCTCTAACCACTATGCCACCTAACTGCCCCTAGGCAGGCTCTTAAGGAGTCTGAACATTACTGAGCTATTGGCTAGAGAAAAATAATTTCCTAATGTTATTAGTTAATTCTCTGGTTGACAGAATGACTGGAACCAGAGCAGGCAGCTCACACCTGACATTCCTGTGCATCTTCTTGGGCTCTTCTGCCATCAGGTTAATAAGGGTTGCTTCTGCACTTCCAGATAAAATCCGACTGCAAGGAGGAAGCTCCCCGTGCTCAGGACGTGTGGAGGTCTGGTACAAAGGCTCCTGGGGCACAGTGTGTGATGACTCTTGGGACCTGGCTGATGCAGAGGTGGTATGCCAGCAGCTGGGCTGTGGCTCTGCTCTAGCTGCCCCACCAGAGGCTGCCTTTGGCCAAGGGATTGGGCCCGTCTTGCTGAGTAACGTTCATTGCCAAGGAAATGAGTCATCTCTGTGGGACTGTCCTGCCGATCCTTGGGGGCAGGTAGAGTGTGGGCACAAGGAAGATGCCAGTGTGAAGTGCTCAGGTAAGGATCTACAAGCTGGCCTGAGACTGAGAACAATGGCCCCTGGTTGGGGAAGGAGGCTGTGACATGATGGCCTGGGGTCATGGGAAGGGGAGGAGGCCTTCGGCTGCATAGCTGAGGTCTCCACTGGTCTTTGGAGATGCTGCCTTTGCCAATATTATCCTTAAACCTCTCCGTCCTGTGGGAGGAGACCAGGGGACTCTAGAAGTCTTAGGGACTCTTGTACTGACCCTAGGGGCATAGACAGGAACCAGGCTACCCCGACCCTTGAGCCCAGACTGCAGCTTCCCCTCTCCTTCTTCCTGCAGGTGTTTCCAAGGCCACTGGACATTCTGAAGGTACAACATCCTTGCCCATCCAGTCACTGTGATGAATCATGACGGGAGGCACTGATAATGCCACTAGCCAGTGGGGGAAAAAATAGGTTCAGCACTGCCCACTGTCTTTGGCCAGGTCTCAGGCCTGCTGACTCCTAGCAGGCATGGGGATATTTTTCAGTCAGAGGTCCACCCGGAAGGGGCCCTCAGACCTAGTTCTCGTCTGCTGAGCAGCTTCATTGACTAGTAGTGGGGCATGAGAACTATCTTTGATGTGAGCCCTTCCCCCAAAACAGTAGCTGTGGTTTAAGGCAGATTTGGGACCCAATGCCTTGGTACATCTGGAATCTGTGCCTCAGGAGAGGAAGAAGGTTTATCACTGGAATGCTTTGTCTTTCCTAGGAGTCTAGGAGCCTTTGGATTTTTGTTTGCCTGGAGCCTGGGACCTGGATGCTCATCTCTCTCTCTTCCTTCTCAGGACACAAAGGCTTTGCTCTGCCCTGGATCTTTGGAGCCCTCCTGCTGGTCCTGCTTCTCTTTGCTCTGTCCTTTTGGGTTCAGGCTAGAAGACGGAGACAGCGAGTTCCAGGTGTGAGCCCCCCTAGCCCTGCGGGAAGGGCAGTCAGGTCTCTGGGAGGCAGGAGGATGCTTAGCCCAGGAGGAATGGCCCTTCGAAGTGGGGTGGACTGATGGACAGGGTGGGGAAATGAAAAGAGAATGGCTCAGCCTTCCTGGGGGTCACCTGGGCTGGTAACAAGGAAGGAGGCAGAGCTGGGGGCTGGGTATCAGCTTCTGTGTAGGGGCCAGGCACAGCTGGGAAGCTGAAACTTAGGAGGAGAAACTGTGCCAAGCTCCCAACATCTTCACACCGTGCCAGGAATCTTAGACTAATTTTCTCCCTGAATTATTTACTGAGTGTGGAGAATTAGAGTGAAGAGAAGCATGTTTGAAGTCTCCAGTTTGAATCAACCTTGCCTTGTAAGAAGGTAGAATTGGGCTCCAGCCAGGCTATGGGTAGGACAGGTGCTTTGGAAGGCCGAGTCCAATGAGAGGACTCATTCAACCAAAGTCATTTGACTTTCTCAGAGCAGAAAAGCTACATGGGAATTGGGCAGGAAATAAGGTCACGGAGGTGACTGAAGATGTGAGACAGGTGGGGGTGGCTGTGGGGCTCAGGGTCCAGCAACAAGGCGAAGGAGCCAACTACAATGGTGGCATGATGAGAGGGCCAGGCTTGGGGGAGGTCTGTCTCAAGCCCCATCTCAGGGAGGATCCTCTGTTCTCAGCCCCCTCCAATGGAGGGGACATGAACCACATGGCCCTGTACCAGAAGACGGATTTCAGATGGAAGGATGACCAAAACTTGCTCAGCAATGCAGGTCTGTGGGGCTCAGTGGTTGCTGTCTCAGAGGTGAAGGAATCTCCCCCAATTGAAAGGACTTCCAAATCCCCCCTCCCCATCAGCAAAAAGGGGAGGTGTGAATGGCCAGCACAAAAAAAACAAAAAAAAAAACAACCCAGGAGAATTGCTCTCTTGGAGCATCCTGAAAGCCCTGGCTTTTGAGGGACACATAGTCTGGGCTTTCTGGTGATTTCTTTTTTTTTTTTTTGGCTAGGCAGTGGGGTTAAGTGACTTGCCCAGGGTCACACAGCTAGTAAGTGTTATGTGTCTGAGGCCGGATTTGAACTGAGGTCCTCTTGAATCCAGGGCCAGTGCTCTATCCACTGCGCCACCTAGCTACCTCCAGCCTGGGCTTTCTGGATGGAGGATCCCCTTAGAGTTAGGAATGAGGAAACACCCCCATGTGTCAAGGCCTGTGCTAACTCCTGGGAATACAACTGGAAACATGAAACCACTCTGGCTCTCCAAGGGCTCACATTTAATTGAGGGACACGGCACACCTCGAAATGTTCATGTACTGGGGCAGTGGAAGAGAGAGCTTCATGGGATTGGGGTGGGGTCATGGAAGAAAGATTCTACCCCGTTTTGTTGGGTTCTGGCACCCTGTAGAGTTCCCAGGAAAACAGGCTTCAAATTCCACCTCTGATACATGGGCCTGGAGTCAAGAAGGGCCAAGTTCAAATCTAGCGTCAGGCACCTACTAGCTATGTGACTTCACTTCTGCCTACCTCAATCTCCTCATCTGTAAAGTGGGGATAATAATGACATTTAGCTCCCAGCCTTGTTGTAAGGATAAAATGAGATAATACTTGTAACATGCCTTACAAAGTTTAAAGCACTTTATAATTGAGAGTTATTATTACAATTAATATATTATGTGACCTGGGCAAGTCACTTAACCTCCTAACGTAGCAGATAATGCTCCTCAGACAATACCCAAAGGTGATATGCCTATGTATATTGGTAGAGAATCTTTCCACATTAATGAAATCATAGCTTACCTTCCCCCTCCTAAATCTGGCCCAGGATCACTTTGTGGGAGATAATAGAAGGCCACACCAGTATGGTGAGAAAGGCTTAAATGTAAGTGAAGGACAGTGGGCAGGTCCGCTGGGAATCACCCTGCTCTCTTTGCCTGCACTGAAGCCATTTCATCAGAGTCCCCAGCCCCATGGCCCGCACTCCTCAGGGACACTTCCTCTTTCCTCCCAGTTTATTTATTCTCCCTCCTTCCTTCCGCCATCTTCACTCTACTCACCCACCAAATGCTGGGTGCTGGCTCCCTACCAGGGGTCCTTGCAGGCCTGGCTTTCTGGGCTTGAACTGCACGTAATCCATAACCCTAACCCCTACCCCATTTCCTAGGTGTCAGCAGCTGCTAACTCAATAAACCCACTGGGTAAATCCCAAATACCACCCCTGAAGCTAATTGTCCATGGCCTGAGTCAGTCCCTTTCTGGGATAGTTTTCATTCCTTGGGAATTTCCCAATTGTCAAAGGCTTTAGCTCAGACCTTCACTAAATGGCTGTAGGAGAAAATAGAGATCTGACCCTTTCAATCTCTGCAGAGGTCCCTGATGGGTGTGATGACACTTCAGAGAGTAGCTCCAATATCGTCTCTAGGTCAGAAACCCTTCTTGTTCCTTGGAGAAACAAAAAGGACGTCCAGCTCTGGAGGTAGCTCTGAAGAAATGGAAAGTCTTTCCAGGTGAGGAAGTGTGTTTGCCAATCCCTGTTCCTATGGACCACACTCCCCAAGGGCACAGAGACCCCACCAGCCTCATCCCAATCACGACTCCTAGGGAGTCCAGAGCCCATACTGGGGATTCTTCTGCCACATCTCAGACAAGTGGTCTCCCTGACCCTTCTTGAGGACCCTCAGGGAGCTGCTGTCCCTGCCTCTAGGCCACTCTTGGTTAGGACATTACCCTAATCTTTACCTTCAGCTGGCCTCTCGGAAGCTTATCCCCATTGCTCTGGCTTCTACACTCTGAAGTCAAACAGAAAAAAAGTCTGCCCTCTCTTCCATTGCCTGACTAAATCACTTGACAACAGCTGCCATCCCTTTGCCATCCTCACCAAATCTCCTCTCTTCCATGAAGTATTGGGCACAGATCCCTCAAACAGACCCCTAGCAATCCCAGTGGGGCGTGAGCTCAGGGTCCCTCACCTGCTTGGTGGCCACCCTCTGGCTATTCAGCAGCTTCTCCCGTTCCTTCTTATGTGCTGCCACAGGTGTGGCCCTGCTGTGTCTCCTTCTAGCCTCCCCACCCCCACTGAAGCCTCTCCAAGGCTCTTCTCCATCCAGGGGATCACGTCCCTCCCCCTCGAGCTCCAATCGATCTCCCAGTGTCTGCTTCTATCCTGCAGCAGGGCGTTGCAGATTCAAAAAGAAACGGATCCCTGAGGGCCACTCAAATTCATGTTGTCTGTGATTTTGCTAAACATTTCCCATGTCCACTTTAATCTGGTTCTTTGACCCCGAGTCTGATATCTCTGGCCTACAGGATCACCACCGATTTCTCAGGTTGGCTTTAAAAACCTTTCATTTTACAACTCATCTCCCGGTTCCCTGGTGTGCTGTCCATGTGCCTGCTGCTTTCTTCCCATCTCGGCCTCTGTGTCTTTGCACAGCTGTGCCCCGTGCCTGGAATGCCCCTCCCCCTCTCTCTTCTCCTAGAATCCCTGGCTTCAGTGAAGTTCCATTTCCTGCAGTGCCAGCTACATCTCATGTCATCTTTCAGTGCGGCTTTCTGGGTGGCTCGGTGATTTAAATGTCTGTCAGGCTGAGTGGCCTCCAGGGGAGACACTCTGGTTCAAATGACAGAGAAAGAGTGAGCAGACATCCTCACTTCTATGGGAAAGCAGTCATGGGACAGCAAAGTAGTGTAAGGAACCAAAGGCTTTTAGGTGACTCCGCACGTCTGTATGTGGCCAGAAGAGGACTGGGCACTCCCAGCTCCGAGGTATTCAAAGCATCACCCAAGTAAAAATTAGACTTATTTTGGAGGAAAATGATGGGAGAAGACAAGCAGTATCTCTGCAAAGTAGGGCCTCTAGATGAAGGGGAAGATGACTATTTTGCATTATTATTATTTTTTTTTTGGTGAGGCAATTGGGGTTAAGTGACTTGCCCAGAGTCACACAACTAGTGAATGTCATGTGTCTGAGACCAGATTAGAACACAGGTCCTCCTGATTCCAGGGCTGGTGCTCTATCCACTGCACCACCTAGCTGCCCCTGAAAATGGATGTTTTGAAGACTTGGTCTAAGAGTCAACTGAGCCAGTTCATTCCTGGACCATTGAAAAATGAACTTAGCCCCCAACAAACGGACCATGAGGAATGCGATACATTTACTAGTATTTTGTAGCAATGAACTTTCACGATCTCTGACAGTGGGAAGCAGGACCAGACCACTAATGCACAGAAGGGGGTTCATGATGGAGACCATGGGGAGTTAGGAAATTAGGAAACCATTGGGAGAATGGCTTTTATAAGGTGTTTTCCCAAGGGTAAAATGCTCAATGGTTTTTAGAAATGATGACCACACAGAAAGGTTGTGGGAAGAACACAAATAGTCACTGATCTGTTTTCTCATCTCTAGAAGACCTTCATGTGAATGCTCTGTATTTTTACTGAAGGTGTCCTTAATGACCACATAAGGACCTATCCACCAGAAGGAGCCATCACCACCTTTAGACTGAAAGTAAGGGGCTGAGCAGCACTATTTCTCTGTAGCCAAAGTTCTTGATCTGGGGTCCACAAACTTATTCTTTGGAATATTTTGATAATTGTATTTCAATCCAATGGTTTTCCTTTCTAATGCTATACATTTAATTTCGTGCTTCTAAAAACATTCTGGTGAGAAAGAGTCCATAGACTTTACCAGCCTGCCAAAGGTATCCATGACACAAGAATGGGTAAGACCCCTCCTTGGTGGAGAGGAAGATGGCGCTCTACCTTGCCTGTGGTCTAGACACCCCAGTCCTATGTCTGATTCCATTGGTGTAATAGTATAATCAGCTAAATCAAAAGTTGAAACATGTCCAATTGAAAGGTCTCTTAGTTCTTTTAATGACTCATTTTTGTTCTAAGGAAAACATGTTCCTGAGCCTCCTGGCCTGTCACTTTGTGCAAATCCAATATTGCTCCTAAATTCACCAGAAGAGAGATTAATACCTCACACTCAAACTTTAACCCTAAAATGCGCATCTCAGACTCTAACCCTAACCCTAACCCTAACCCTCTGGCCCTTTTCCCACATATGCTTACAGCTCCTTGTATGACCCAGCTCTACTACTTACTTTCTGTATGACTCAGGTCAAGCCACTCTTGGGTCTATTTCCTCACCTTTTAAAACTGGCTGGAGGGCACTGTACCAGAAGACCTTTGCAACTGCTAAGATGCCTTATCACTCTACATCTAGCAGCCATCCAGTTGTAGAAAGAGAATGATGGTTTTCCTGGGTAAAAACAGTACAAAGTTGAGGTCTCTTCCTAGGGCTGGATCCTCATAATAAAGGAAGGCAGTTGGGTCAGGTGGGAGGGCAACAATGACTTTGCCTTCCTTGTCTCGGTTCTGGATCAGAATACTTTGAAGGCTCAGTCAGAGAGGTACTTATGAGTTTCAGATCCCAGATCAGACAGCTGTCCTGGACTGAGAGCTGAAAATTAGATGCAACCACAGAGAGTGCTCACCGTAGACTTGGTCTTAGCCTCCTCGGTATGGCCACTCTTAGCTTGGCTGTGGATGAAGAGAGCTATCAGGCCAGACTTAGGGAAGGGAAGGTTAGGGTTTCAAATCCTGTAGCAAAGTCAAGGGGGCCAGGACCTCCAAGGTCATCAAGTTCATTTCAGTTCTCAGGAGTCCATGGAAGGTGTCCTTTGACCTTTTTTTTTCTAGGTGATTTTCTAACTTCACTTCTAAGTCCATGCGACTGGGATCAAAGCCTGTTTTCTCATCTACAAAATGAGGAGTTGGATAAGATGGCCTCTATCTTCTTTCCAGTTCCAAATCTAGACTGCTTCAATCCTGCAAACCTCCTCATTGTACAAACCGAGGACCAGGGCAAATAGCTGGTGGGAAGCATCTGAAAAGGAATTTGAACCCAGAGCCCAAGCTTCTTCCACTGTACCATATTGCCTGTAGTCCTCTGGCTGACTAAAGAAAAGAAATACATGAGGTAGAGGAAGAGGCTCAGAGACTCTCAGAGCAACTTTTCTGGGGGTTCATCATGTAAGGGAGGTGCCTTATGATCTATGTTATGACCCAATGGTCATCATCACCATAGAATGTCAGGGAATGCCCTTTTTCCGGGCAGACCTTCTGACCAGTCTCCAGCTCTCCTTGACCCATTAAGGCCCATGTGCTGCCATTTTATTGGCTTAAGGCCTGCAGTGGGAGGGCACAAAGAAGTCCAGAACAAGGACTTGCTCTCAAGGAGGAAAGTAGAAGCGGCCAGTAGTCAGATGAAGGGCTTCCCTCTGGCCAGTTTCCTCCCTCCCCCCCAACCAGGTGATGAACCCTGCCCAGCACAGTGTAGGGAGAGTGGTGAAGGCTGCTGAGACCATCTCAGCAGGAAGGAAGGAAGGAGGAAGTCCTGTTTTCCTGGGTTTGGGCTGGACTTGGGACAGCTTGAGTCTTCTTCCAACAAGCAAACACATGAGTTTCATTCTCAGGGCCTGAACAGCTCAGCTAGTAGAACATTCATCAGGCTTTTGGGCCCAGGGGCTAGGGCTCTCCATCAAGTTTTGCATGGCATTTCCAGGGTCTGAGATGAGGGAAAGAAGACCCTGGGCTGTGAGCCCCTATGCTCAGTAAAGTTCAGAGGGCATCCACGTCTACACAGGCATAAACAATGAGCAGGAGCCAGCTTGTGAGCCTGAGCTCCTCCTTCCAGGAGGGACACTGAGATGCCATTCTGAGGCGGCCGTCGGAGAAGGCTCAGAGTCTAGCGGCTCTATCATATGAGGAAGAGAAGAGAGATGGGGCATGATCCTTGCTTCCTTTGGAAAGAGGGGTGAGAGGTGTGTGGTTGTCACTTGAAAAACCGAAACAGAGACTTCAGGATATTGGAGGCCAGGGAGCAGCTCACAGCTGGGCCTGGCTCTCCCCCTTGTTTCAGGGGGAGACTGGATTTGCTTCAATTAAGCAAAGGCTGGGGCTCACCTGGGACCTTCACAGAGAGGCTCCATGCCTCAGGGATGCCAGAAGACTGCCTTCCTAAAATCAGCTTATCATCTATGAATGTTTCCTTCCTGCAGACATCTTCCCCTCCTGAAAATCTTTTGGAAACGTCCCTCTGAGTCTCCCACATGGTTGTCTTCTGGGAGTTCATTTGGGATGATCCAGATGTGCTTCTTCACTCCATTGTCTCAGAGAGGACAAGCTCTCAGAGACTTCCTTCTCCAAAGATTGTCACGTACTCATACCTAGAGTGGCCAGCTCCAGAACCAGTCCCCCAACTGAGCTCATTCTTTTTTTTTTTTTAAGGCAATTGGAGTTAAGCGACTTGCCCAGGGTCACACAGCTAGTGTCAAGTGTTTGCTCTGAGGCCGGATTTGAACTCAGGTCCTCCTGACTTCAGGGCTGGTGCTCTATCCACTGCACCCCCTAGCTGCCCTTGAGCTCATTCTTGGAGAAGGCAGAAATGGCACGTTTTTGCCCCCAAACAGCAGTGCCCAAGATCCTGCATTATCATTTACCTTACAGACCCTTTCAGGAGTGAAGAATCCTTCCCTCAATCTGGGGAAATGTTTATTGACACCCATGCCCAGCCAGGGAGTGGCCAGTGAGCACCTGCTGGAGATGAAGGAAAATGGGACCCCTTAATGTGCAATGGCGTAATGCGGCCCGGAATATTTGTTCAGTCATAGGCTTGAAAGGATGTGCTGTGGCCACTGCTGTCATGGGTGGTGAAAATGACAATCTTTGTTGTGTTTTCCATCTTTTTGTTGTTCTCATGACAGTGTGACTGAGTCAACTATGGGGACCGAGGCCTCGGTGGCTTTTGAAGTCCCTTCAAGGACTAAGTCTGCAGTCCTATGATAGAGTACGTAGTAAGAGCTTAGAAGGCCTGAGTTTGAATTCAGCCCACGATGGCAATGTGATGCTAAGCAAGCCAGTGGCCCCTCCTTTCACCTCCATTTTCTCCTCGGTAAAATGAGGATAATAACAGCACCTGCCTCTGAGGATAGTTGTAGAGACCACATGAGCTAACATGGAAAGTGCTTTAAGGCCCACATGTTTATTATTACAATAATAATAGTTTTTGCAGACTTTGCATGTCTGATGGCAAGCCTTGCTCACTGGTCTTAATTTTCTATCTTTCTTCTCTAAGGGGCTATACCATTGAGGTTGATTTCCAAACCTTTGTTCCAGCAATCAATAAATAAGTATTCATTAAGTGCTGACTAGTTGCCAGACACTGTACTAAGTTCTGGCCACATTACATAGAGAAGAGGCAAAAGATTCCCCCCACCCCCTCAAAACTGCTTTTAAGGACACTTACCTTCTAATAGGGGAGACCACCTAAACCAGGCAGAGCCAACACAATAAATACAGAGTGGCCTGTGGGGTGGGAGTGGAACTAGAAGCTGGGCCAACTAGAAAAGACCTGCTGGTGATCATGAGTGCTGGGGATTCCAAGAGTTGGGAGATGGCATTCCTGGCAACAGCCAAATGAAAGCCCACAGAAGAGAGAAGGAGGGTCATCTTGGAGGAAGAAGTGAGTCCTGAAAACGGCAGACTCTCCAGGGTCCTTGTTGTTCATGGTGGTTAAGTCTGCAGGAAATGCCAGTGATGGAGGGAAATATCTGGACTGTCTTTTCCTGTATGTTGTTTGACTGATTTAAGTTTGGGGGAAGCTTTGGCTCTTGGTCTCAGGGGAGGGGTGGAGAATCTGCGGCTGGTGGCCTGAAGGCTGCAGGTTCCCCACCCTGGGCCTAGGGCCTTCTCCAGTTAAGGCACTTCTAAATTTCTGTTAACTTTGGCTTTTATTTGTGCTAGTTAGACGTTGGTCTCTCTGCGCCCACACAGATGGTTCTGACATCACTGGCCCTGCCCTGCCTTTGAGTCACAGCATTTCTCCTTTTCTGTTTGAAGGTGGTTGCTCACCCTGTTCACAATGAAGAGAAGGGCAGGAGTCACAGTCTCTTTTATTTTCTGAATCCACCCCACTCTTCCGAGATGCTTTTCCAGAACCTTTGTGAGGGATAGTCACAAGCAGTGGGACAGAGAGAGAGAAGGGGGCTTTGGGCCACTTCTGGCCCTTGCTGCTGAATTAATTCTCTCTCATTAGGGTTTACTGAGCACCATGGAACAGCACACCATCTGTGGAGTGCCTGACAAACCCAGAAACAACCCAGTGATGATGGCTGCCATGTTGCTGGCTTGGTTGGAATCCATCTTCACGTTTTCTCCTGTACCTTCTCCCACAGATGTTGGTGCATAAGCTGTGATTCTCTTCGTTTGGGTCTTTTCGATTTCCTTCATCATCCTGAACCCTGGAGGAGGAGATGAGGAAGTGGCCAATGTAATTGTTGGTCTCCTTCTCCAAGGTGGGCTTGGGAGACATCTTTCCAAGGAGCCATGACTTCCCTTTGTGTTCCAAGGATGGCTCCAATCTTCTAAGAACACATCAGTTCACTAATCTTTGGACAACAGAGCTCACCTTTGGAGTAGCAATAGTGGTTGTTTGAAGACTCTTTAAAAATCATCTGCCTTGTAGTCTGAAGATGTGGTAGGATTGTAGGCCATTTGGCAGCTAAGGGTTGCTTTAGACATCATAGAACACAGTTACAATCAAATAAAATTCCTTGGTAACTATTTACATGTAAATAAATGGTCTCAATTCAATCAAAATGAGATCTTTTCTGTCCTTTCCTTGGGGGCAGCTGGTTGGCACAATAGATAAGGGCTGTGCCAGAGCTGGAGTCTGGAAGACCTGAGTTTAAATCCAGCCTTGATAGCTGTGTGACCCTGGGCAAGTCACTTAACCTTTGTTTGCTTCAGTTCCCTCATTTAGGAAACAGGAATGAATAGCACCTATCTTCCAGAGTTGTTGTGGGGATCAAATAAGATAATAGGTGTAAAACACCCAGAAAATGCTGTATAAATGTTTGCTATTTTCATTCAGTTTCACTCTGTGTTCTGTTGGTGGAATCATTCTCATTTTCATTTGCTCCTAAGTGGTCATTATCGGTATGTAAACATTTTTCCCCTTGGGGTATCTTTTTTTCCACTGAGCAAAATTAAATTTAACGCTGTATCCTTTGATTATTAATATTAAAATACAACACGCCCTTTTCTGAAGCTCCACCTTTCAGCATAGCTCTTAGCGAGACCTCTCCTATTCCAGCTGAGAAATGAGATCCCATTCTAATCTAGCTCCTTCCAAGGCCTGCCAGTCCACCCTTGTGCCCTTACTTTCAAATCAAAGTTGGGGGTGACTGGGTGTATAAAGGGGAAACGGAGCCGGGGAGATCCTGACTAGGTGGGTTTTCCAGCCCAGATTGCTGGAGGCAGCTTGAGTCCCGTGACCAGGGCGCATTCTCCAGCTATTCTTCTCACAGCGATGAAGTAATAGGAGTTGAGAACTCAGCCCACCTCCTTATTAAACGTCCACCAATCAGGGCTGGCCTTCGTTTGCCAGGGGCGGTCTGATGAGGCGCTGTCAGTAGGAAGAGATGTGGATTTAAATTGGCTTGACATGCTCCTTTGGTTACCTAGAGAGATCACTGATCTCAGTTTATCGCTGGTTTTTCAGCCTTGCTAATAAATGGATAAATCATACCTTATCCTAGGCTTGCTACATCAGACTTCGGGAAACTTGCCCTTGGGTGAGAGCCAAGCCTCTGGTGGAACCCAATGAGAGAATCGCTTCACTCTTGCTGGGCCCATGTTCTCCTTTACCCACCTTCTTTCATTTCTGTTTTGTTACTAATTTGGATAAATTAGGTTTTTTTGGATGAGTATTATTTCCGATGTGTATTCACGGTGGAGCTGCAATTTGCTTTTAGGGAATCAAGCCTTGGGTGTAAAGCATGGGGTCCTTCTCCCTGGCCCCCTCCCTCATACTAACACTATTGATGGGAGCACGTGGATAGAATTCTAGCCCAGTGCCCCCTCTCTCTGTTCACTGGTCCCAACTTCCGGCTTTTCTGTCTTTGGGAAAGGGTGGGGCCAGGGACAGAAGAGGCTAGTGATCTCTGGCTTCCTCCAGGGCCACACAAAGACAGCCTCTCTCCTAGCAGGGACCCTCTCTCTCTAAAGTGTTAGAGTCAGCTCCTGTGGCAGGAGAAAATAGGTACCCAAGAGAAAGCCTCCAACTCTTCACAAAACCATAGGCCCTGAAAAAACAGGAGTGGGCCCTCTATGGCACGGCACTGTTGGGTCAGGGAAATGAGGAAAACCACCGGGCTATGCCTCCAGACCAAAGGAATCTTGGAAGAGAAAGGACTCCTTGGTGGCCTCAGTGAACCTGGGGAGGAGGCCCTGGCTGGCTCTGACTGCCGGGTCCTACCCAGGTGTGCCGTAGGGCTCAGCCACCAGGGCTGCCGGCAGGTCCCTCCGGTGGTCCTAATTCCAAGTCGGCCAGCAATGGTGGCACCGGGCATTCTTATCAGAAGGGGCCCATTGCCGGAGGATCCCAAGGGGCGCCCTTGGAGCCAGCGAGAGGCCCGGATCAGGCCTCAGGATGGACCTGAGTACCGTAGCACTCGGGGGCCAGGAGGATCAGAGGGCAGGCAGGGGTGGGCTTGGGGTCGCAGAGCCTTCCTGTGGCAACAGGGTGACAGAGCAGAGAAGGCCCCCTGCCCTTTCTATGGGGTGCCTTCGGCCCCAAGAGCCTAGTTCCATCCTCACTCAGGGTCTAAGAGGGACGCTCACGAGAAGCTGGTTGGGGGTTGGGGGGGGAACAGAGGTGGCCCCCTCCTCCCAGGCCCCTGGTACTGCGGTCTCCGCCAGGCAAAGCAGGAGGGACACCAGAGGCCGGGGCTGCGCCCCGCCTGCATCCCCGGAGCGTCCCCCCTGCCCCAGTGTGAGCTGGCAGACAGGCGGCCGAGACTGGGAGAGGAAAGGAGAGGCAGGGGCTAGCCTGGGCGTTTGGTTCGAGGTTCCCAGGAGGGAGGGAGAACGCGGGGTCTGAGGGGTGCCAGGGCTCCTCCCCACCCCCTTCACTCTCAGGAGAGCGTGGCCGTGACGCGGGAGAGCTGCGGACTGGCGGCCACCTGGGGGGCAAGGAATGACCCAGCATCCTAAAGGCTGGCACCGAGCCGACCACTGCGGACCTGGCGCGCAACGGTAGTGCGTCTGACTCCAGATGAGAAGGCTGCGTGTTCCAGTCACATCGAGGTCCAGCCGACTTTTTTTTTTTTTTTTAATTTTATTTTTGGAACCCGCGGCCAGGCTGGGCAGCCGCAGTTCTAAGCCCCGCCCTGAGTCGCGGTCGCCCCGGTCCCTCGGACCCTTCTCACACCTGCATCCCTTAGGCGTGCATCCCCCGCTCTCCCGGGCAGCTTCTCGCGTGCCCTCTAGCGCTTCGTGTGCGTTGGCCAGGCTCTCCAATCCATCCACCCCTCGAGGGTGCCGCGGCCTCTCCGGGCATCCGCGCCCCCTTTGCAAGGCCGGCAAGGAGGGGAGGGACGAAGGGGTCTTCTCGTATTTTGTCTTTGGGGCCGAGGCCACTGAGTTCGGTACCTTCCCGGCTCCAAGCTCTGCTCTCCTTCAGTCCTCCACAGCTGGCGTCGAGGCTGAGTCTCCGGAGCTTTTGGGAGGCGGGGTCAGGCCCGAGAGTCATCTGGTCTCCCGCGGCCACAGCCCGTACACGTACCCTGCTCTGGGGACCTGAGGCCGGTCCCTCCCAGGCTTTCTTCGGGATTTTGCCCCTTCCCAGCTCAAAGTAAATGTCAGCTGTAAGAGGGCACTGAAGGGGCTCGCGAGCCCAGAGCAGAGACGGAGGGGGAGCTCTGATCCCGGAGGAGCCAGGCAGGTGGGCCCTGGTTTCCTTAGGAAAGGTGCTTGAGGGAGCAGACGCTTGGCGCCTCGCAACTAGGTTCATCAGGGAAGGCGCTGAGGGGTTGGGGTGTGTGGATGTGGACAAAGTATGACTTCACCCTGCAGAAAATCCTTGACCCGCTTCTGAAGGATTGGGAGCCAAAATGGAGAGTGGGAAAGCAAAGGAGCCACCACGGGTGGGGTTCAGGAGGGCAGACGGTCGTTGAATCTTATGCCCAACACCTCAACCACTTGACCACCCTGGTATCTGAGTGACAGTTTTGTCAGATATCACCTACATAACTTCCTTCGTGGCAGTCAACATGGCAGATTGTCATCTTATACACTGTGTCTCCAAGAGGCACCTGAAATGGTCCTGGGGTGAGGGGTGGGGGTGAGAGAAGGAAAGAAGGAAGTAATGGAGGATCAATGAAGGAAAGAAGGTAGCTTTATGGAAGGAAGAAAAGAAGGAAGAAAGGAAGGCAAGATGGATGGAAAGAGGGTGGAAAAAAGGGAAAGAAGGATGGAGCAAAAACATAGGATGGATAAAAAGCAGGACAGAATGATGGAGGCATTTGTGGAAAGAATTTGATGAAGGAAGGGAAGAAGGATGGAAGAAAGAATGGAAGGAAGGGTAAAAGAGGGAAGCAAGGAAGTGAGATGGAAGAAGTAATGAATGAGGCACTTGTGGAAAGAATAAATTTAAGGCCTGTTGTTACTAGGTAGGCTTAGAGTAGGCACAACAATCTTCAGAAACAGTGGGCAAATGGCCTCCCAGATCTTCTCACTTGGGGTAGTTTCTTATTAGGTTTCCATTTTACTTTAGCTGCAGTTTGGCTGATAAGATCTTGAGACCTCTGATGAGTTTAAATTCGTGCCTGAAATTTGTATCCCCACTGTAAGGTATCATTATTAACCATTTCAAAAAAATAAATACCTCATTCAATGATTAACGTGTTGGGTTAATGTTAAGTTGTTAGCTTGTTAGGAACCTTGACAGCTCAACGCATGATGTGAAGTGAAGTTGTTTCTCTTCACCATCTCATGTACTGCAAAACATGAAACAAGACTTCTTTCAATTTGGGTGACAGTAATTCAATTGAACAGGTCCTCACATTGCCTTTCATCAAAGTTCATTCATTCTAGAAACCAAAGTCACTCAATAGCAGTAGGAGACAATTAGCTAGCCTTCACTCCAGGGCAGGCCTTGGCATTTGCACTTTACAGTTATGGGAACAGGAAAGCATTGTCTGTCTGAACCCTTCCTTCAAGATTCCAACAAAACCTACACTCTAACTTTCTTTATTTATAAACAAAGCAGATAGGACAAGGACCTGAAGAATCATTTCCATAAAATGTAATAGTGAAAATTGTAGGTGTTGAAGCTAATAGTCAAGTAAAAGGAGATGTTTCCTCATCCTTTTGGGAGGAACGGTTTGTTGGACCTAATTCCTCCCCAAGTTCAAGGTTCTTCCTAGGTCTCCACTGTAAAGTGTCACACTGGGCAGCAAGCAGGGTGACCCTGGAGAAGCACTCACCCACCCCTTTCACAAAGGTGTTTGCTTGGTGCAGACCAGGAGGATTGGCCAGAGCTGGAGACTGATACAGGAAGGTCACTGCCATTGGTACCTTCCAGAGTCCCTGCCACTCCTCTGAGAGCAGGAAGTTTTTATTACTGTTGACTTTATCGTGTACTCTAAATCAAATACTCAACAGCTTTCTTCACATTTTAACTATTTTCTTTTTTCTATTCTATTGTGTAAAAGCAACTTCATTTTGATTACCGGTACTTAAATATGTCAAGAAACTAGGAATCACCTTTTCTTTAACTCTGACAGATCTTCCTTCCTAATTGCCTCCTCCTTTTA